TGACCATCGCTTGTACTGCTTCTTCAAGGTTATCAAATCCTTGAATTTTGTTGTGTTTGTCATTACCTAACGCCTTCAACAGAGAGGGATATGATAGGTAGACGCCACGCTTGTCTCCGAGTAAAAGGCGGTAGGCCTCTTTTTTGGGTTTTTTAAAAACAGCGAGGCAACATTTTTGCAAAGTAATAATTTAATGCATTAATAGCATTAAATTTTGTTGTTGTACTACAAGCTCGATGAAGAGCATCAAGTAATAACTTTTGTTCCCTTGAAATGGGACAATTCCTCGGACATTTGAATTGTTGAGGGTGACCTTCGGTAAAGCCGGAAGATGCTTGTGTTCCAAACTTTAGAGTATCAAACTCTTCAGTTGTTGAGGCTGGTAACTTGCCTTTGTTGATTGTGTTTGCCATAGTAGTACCTGTATAACTGAAGGAACTCTACAATACCCTTTTGTTAGTTTCCTTAAAAGAAGAAATTGTTGTATTCATTAGACAATATCCATAATCATCTAATATATTTTCTAATTCATTATATTTATTATCCAGTTGAAAATCATTTTCATTAGGATAAAGGTGAATGAATTCATTATTTGTGAAATCATTTATTAGGCCATAATCTTTATGGCTTTTGTCTAAATTGATTTCATCATTATACTCTGTAATACTAATCACTGATAGTATTTCAGAGTTAGTAGAAACATCTTCATCTATTGGAAGAAGGTTCATGTGGCAGGATTTTATCAATTCTGCCTCTTTAGTGTAAAGGTTTGTAATGTTAGGACAATCTCTAGAGAAGTGTCCTAGTTGATTACAAGCGAAACATTTCAAAGTTTGCTTGTATGTTTTGTTTTCTCTAAATTTTCTGACGTGTCTATCAGGATTTAGAGTTGGTTTTCTAGAATTTGAGGACCTAATCGTGTAAGTCTTTCTAGAAGTTGTGGGTTTTTGTCTTTCAGAATAAGAATTCTGATTGTAGTTTTTATTATACCTATGTTTACTTCTTGGTATAGGCCTTCTGTAAGGCTTGTTTTGATTATACTGCTGAGGAGTATAAATTTGTTTGCAAATTCCAGCATCAGAATTTTTCAATTGTTTTTGTATAGAAATATGTGTACATGTATCTTCCATCACTTTCATGATGTGTTGTATACGTATAGAGAGGTTGTTCAACATGGGAGTAACCTCTTCATTTTTCCAGGATTCTCGGATCTTTTGACCAAGTTTTCCTGGTAGTTTGAGAAACATCTTTTCTCCAATGCTTAAATCATGGAAACATCCAGCTATGGATGCGTACATGAGATAATCTTGTAAAAATTCTTTTATCTTTCCAAATTATGTTATGGAAAGTCTTTCTAAATGACCCAGATAAATCTGTTGTCTGAGTGTGTTCCCATCATTAGCAGACTGGGAAGTAAGCAATTTTTGTAACAAAGAACAAAAATTGTATATGTTAGGACCTGGTTCGATCACAAACATATTTAAGTCGACTGGGTAATTTTTCTTAAAAGATTCCCAGCAAGCTCTAGCTATATCACCTAAATAGGTTTCAGCTTTAACAATCATTTCTTGAGAAGAGTGAACATCCTTCTCATGGTGTATGCCATAATCACGGATTACAGCTACAGTCCATTGCTCAATATATGTTGGCAATAGTTGAGGATTTATTCCTCCTATGTTTAAAAGAAGATTAGGCATTTGGAAATTTGGCTCTATCGGAAGCCTCTTGCCTAATGTTGTGTATTGGTTGTCACTAAAGACAACATTTTGTGGTGATACTCTAGGTGGAAAACCGATAGAGTAACTGTGTATACCATCAGGTAGTAACTGATAGCTATGAGGTTGATAACTATTTGATCCCTCATTTGTATTTACTAACCCTAATGTTGATAAGGGTTCTGAAATTATGGATACATTATCTAATGTATCATTATTTATGTTGTCTATCCAAGACAAAGGTTCTGAACCTAAAGATACATTATCCAGAGTATCTGTTGGTTCATCATTTGTGTTAACGAACCTAACTAAAGGTTCTGAAACTAAAGACACATTATCCAGTGTATCTTTTTCTTTTACAATTTTTTCTAAGTGAAGAGTCTTTTCTTCAGTTAGGTTTAATCGGGTTTCTAAGACTGAAGTCCTAGTGTCAATTAAATTTTTGTCTTTTGTACTTTCTTCTTTTCCTAAGAAAGTAGGTATATCCTGTATTCCCTGTTTAGTTTTTAAACAGTCTATACATAAATTTTTGTAACAAAGGGGACAATGAGCCCTTTGAGAGATGTGAAAATATCTTTCACAATGTAGACAAGGAATTGATCCTGGTCCTGAGAAAAATTGAATGTCATGACAACATGTATTTTTCTCTGTTGTGTTCATTAAACCATTACCCAAATAGTCTAATGTTTCTCCTAAGTTTAGAAGAAGTTTAGGGTTTTGTAGACTCAGCTCTGTACAAGGCATATTGTCTAGTGTAGGGTTTTGGTTGTTATCCGAACCAATATTTTGTAGTGATTTTATAGAATCTTCATCAGATTCTAACTGAGTTTGAGAATCATCTAATTCAACACTCATGTTTTCAGACCCTAGGGTTTCTAAGGGTTCTGAGATTTCAGATAAATTATCCAATATATCATCTTCATCTGGATAAAATTCATCTAAATATTTGTTTATAATGTCATCAAAAGATACATTATCTATTGTTTCTTTTTCACATCCTATCATAGGACTGTTTTTGTTTTTAGGGATAGTAAAAATACTATTCCTATTTTCCTCTGACCTATCTTGTTCTAGGTCTGGGTTTGATAATGTTTTTGAGAACCAATCCTGTAGTTTGGAAATTTGGCTCTATCGGAAGCCTTTTTGCCTAATGTTGTGTATTGGTTGTCACTAAAGACAACGTTTTTTCTATTAATTTAAATATTATTAAATATTTATAACAAATTTAAATTTATAAAAAACTTACAAAAAATAATTTTAAATATGTATCAATTTTTTTAGATATTTTTTCAAAAAAATTATAATTATTTCTAAATAATTTATTTTAGATAAAAAAATAATTTATATATATAATTATATATTTATAGTAAATTTGGTAAAAATAATTTTTTTAAGAAAAAATTGTAATTAATTTTATTGATATATTTTTTCAAAAAGATCAAAAATTATTTTTTATAATTATATATTTTTAGAGAAATTTACAAGTATTTTTTATAAATAATTTTTATAAAATTAAAATAATTTATAAGAATGGTTCCCAATAATTTAATATTTTTTTCAATTTGATAGTTGCTATAAATTTGCTACAGTTTAACTATAATTGTATATTACACAATTTAGCTAGGAAATAGCTTCAAAAAGTAATATACCTAATATTTATAGCTAGGGATTAGTGACAAAAATTTTCCTAACTAAATTATTTTTTTGCTAAGTGAGAGAATAGCTACAAAAATATTAGTCTTCTAGTTATTTTACTACAGATTAGCTACAACCTTATTCTTTCACTATTCCATAGCTAATTAGCTACAAATTAGTGAAAAATAAATTTTGTAGCTAATTTTCCTAGCTAATTATAAAATTTCTTGTAGTGGATATGGAAAATCCCATTATGTTAGATGGGTCAATAGTGATTACCTTTTGTATGTCTCCTACATTTTTTTCAAAACCCCTTAATTAGTTTGTTTCTACCAACAATGTAGATACTTGTAAAATTGTAGAAAAAAAATAGAAGGAATCAAAAATAAAATTCCTTCTTTTTTTATATCTTATATAGTGATGTAAATATATATATATATATATATATATATATATATATATATATATATATATATTTTTTACCTCCTACTCTTATTATACAAATAATAATAATAATAATAATAATAATAAAAATGTCACAATAATAGGGTTATCCAATAAATTTATTTTTTTAACCCGTTTATTTAATTTAGGTCTTTCTTCAAAGTTGGTTTTAGTATTTCTAGGGAATAATTTGAATTGGAATGTTAATTAAATTTAAATAGCTTCTTTGTTTTAGGGCATTTAAAATAGGCTAACATTGATAAGCTCAAACCTTCAAATGTGTAAATTAATATATAATTTAAATGTATTGTGTAAATTAATAAGAATTTATATTTAAATATGTTATTTTATTAGTTTTTAAAAGTTAACTTGGATGGCTTAAAGCTTAAATTTTATTAGGTTAAATGGACTTTTAAATATCTCTGTGTGTTCCACACAAGAAAATTAGGTGAGATAGTGAAAACAAAGTAACTTCCAAGATAATAAAGAAACAATGTATTTTTCATGGTCTTGCTTTTTGATAATTAATATGCTCCTGTTCTATGGATAAGTTAGAGTATGACTTGAATTTTTATATGCAAAAGTAAGATGATTTAGCATTGTTTGATTTAATAAAATATATCTTTTTAACAAATAATATATAAAAGATCATATCATTCTATTTTGCTTCAGTATTTAGATATTCATAAAAAAAATGAGTAAAGATGACGTTATATTTTTCTTTTATAATTATTAATGTAAATAAAAAAGTAAAAACTTCATACATTATTTTAACCTGGAGAGCTTCATTGTGCTGTCTCACATTAGAAAACAATATTAAACATGTTATATCAAATACATTTCATGACACCTATAATTGCTAACATGCTTTGTATAATTTACAAAATAGAAAAGAGAGAGAGAGAGAGAGAGAGAGAGAGAGAGAGAGAGAGAGAGAGAGAGAAACAATGTAGAAAATGACAAAACATTAGCAAAATGAACCAGTTTTATATTGTGTTAATTGGAGGGAGTTTGATGTAACTAAAGACTAAAAATTAGAAACATATTTCGAAATTTAGTTTCCATCTTCTATACTCATTTATTTCTATGTATATATATATATATATATATATATATATATATATATATATATATATCTTGAAGTATATTAGAAACAAGAATGACAAACGATGATCCAAAACAAAACAATCTGTGAAGGTTCACATGCTACAATTCAGTAACTTCACCCTCTTGACAATTGCCCACCCACAAGTATAGAGTTGTTGCGCTCTGGTGTGACGATAATATTCTACAACAATCTCTCCTTGGTGACTGCAAAAGAAGAAAATCTTCGTTACTTTGGTTCCTCATCTATTTTCATTTTAAGCTTGGTTTTAAGGTGAGTGTATCATACCAATTACTCAGCACTTAACAAGCAAGAACATATGACACAGTCAATGAATATTTGTCTTCTTATCAGAAAAATTAACATCTTTAGTAAAAGGGTGCATGTGTGAATGTATAAATTTATAAATGTCTCTACCTTTTGCCAGCGCAATGGATCTGGTTTTTTTGTAACTACAACAGTGGTTATTCTCTCTGGTGAATTCATCCTCCATCGACAAAAAGGGGGTTTGGATTTATCATGGTTATAAATACCAATAATTTGTTTTGTTGTGGAGTCATAGTGACTTCTGGACATATAGTAAAGAAAGGGCTTCTGACAAGGGTGTTTAGCAACAGGCCTTGTGTTGAAAGCATATGCAGTGTAATCAGCTCTTCTATACCAATTGAGAAAGGTTCGGGATGGCATTTCCAACTCTCTAGGGGACAATACTCCCCTTAAGATTTGAACCACATAGCCCCATGAAACAGATATTGACCAGTAATTGTTTCTGTCATAACATATTGATTGTTGCATTATGCTGCCCGAGTCCAGCCTCACTGATTTCATTAGGTGTCGTAGGGCACCTACCCTTGTCATCCCTGGGAAGATTGGTTGCACTACATCAAGGTGGTGTAGTGATACAAGTGGAGCCACTGGATGTGCCCCTAAAAGGCCTAACAGGTCTCCATACACATCATACTGCACAAGAAAACCAATGAAATTGAATCATAACTCTAGTAATAATACAACACTAGAGAAAGTCACTCACATTTCAATATACCTTTGTTATTATGAATAATATGATTCTGTGTTAGACATAATTTATTAACGTAGTTGTAACAACAAGAACCATGTTGTTCAATATAATGGGAATAGATGTAACTATGAATTTGTTACCTGGTGAAAGCCAGCTTCCTTTGTGAGTGGCACACCAAGCTCTGCCATGCAAGCTTGAATTCTATCATCACTACCATACAAAGCTGGGTATCGGTGAATGCAACGATCTTGCATCTTTGCTAGTTCCAGGGCCAATGGGTAGCTTATGGCAAATCCTCCCCCACCATATGCCATGGCATATGAGAAATGCATGTTCTGAACATGGCTTTCAGATGAGCTTCCAATGTAAAAAAAATGCCTATGGTTGTATTTGGAAAGAATTCTAACCACATTATCCACCATAAACACGGTGTCATCATCCCCCATCACGAACCATCTCACATCCTTCATCCCAAGCTTCAATGTCTCTGTTACCACCCTTGATATCCTTAACGCTGATCTTTGTCCTTGAGGATTTGTATAGCGAAATTTTGAAGTGTCCCCAGAGATATGAATATCAGGTAACCCCTCTTCTTTATGAGTCCCCACTTTCTGATCCAACCACACTACCCCTCTAGTTTGGTTAGGCCTCCACCATATCTTTATGTACTCTTTTCTAATGTGCCATAAGTTTGATGAACCAGCAATCCCGAAAACGATGTGTTTAATATCAGTTTTTTGTCTCCCTGACATTTGCTTGGGAGTTAATCTAACTACCACAGGGGAATTATTATTTTCTTCTTCTTCTTCTTCCTTTGTTTCTTCTGCATGAGCTTCATCCTCATCATAATCATCATCGTCACCATCATCGTCATCATCAACAACCACCTTTCTTGGTCTTGGTCGTTTCTCTACTAATGGTTTTTTCTTTTCAAAGCCTTCATCGGTATCTACAGTTTCTAAGGAAGTATTGTTGTGAGTACTTATCTGAAGCCCTTCTCGGGTGGCTTCCTTTAAATTGGTGGTGGAAGTGATGCAATCTTCTTGATCATCATTGTTGAAAAGAATAATGTTGGAAGAATAAAGGGTGTAGAGAACAATGGTGATTAAGATCAACCAAGTGATGATGCTTTTGGAGCCTGTCTGGAGCATGCGTTGATTGGAAGATGAGTACATTGGTTTTTGTCAGTATGAGATTTTCAATTTCTTTTCAGATTGTTGGTGGTGGTGGAAAGGACCTTCAAACTCAGAATTGTTCGGATCATAGAAACAGAAGAAGGGTATCATTCTTACTATTTTGTTTTCCTTTGGTGCTTCTAAGTGAAATTTGTTGTGGTTAGAAACGAAGTTGAATGCGATTTTAGTGCATACACGGTTGACATTTGCATAATATTCATCAAAATCAATTTTTCTTTACTAATTGTATATTCTTTTTTCACCTTATTCGTGTCATTTAATGAGATTTGCTTAGTTTAAATTGAGTATCAAACATAAGAAGAAAAGTGAAATAACTTGCTTATTTTTTTAGAAAAAACAACTTAATTGTTATTATTCACACAAAAACTATAATAAGTTAATATGCTATGTGAATTTATCAATGAGTGAAATTTTTTCCTTAATAAAATGTAATCTAATGCTTGTAATAATTAATTAACAATATAACAAACGGATTTCATAATTTATTTTTCCTTTTAGATTAGACTCTATAAATATTTGGTGAATTTTAAAGGACAAAGTACAAAATAAAAATCACAAGTTAAAGAAACATCATAATTAGACATCACCAACTTATATTTTTGAATTATAAATTAATATTTAAATTAAAATAAATGTTTATATCTGATAAAAGTTGAAATAATTTATTTTCTTAATTAAATTAATTTATATAAACAAAACATTTAAAAATTGATGAGTTTAAATTAAAAAAAATAGTATATTTAAATTCTTTAAAAATTGTGAAATTTCCTATTCAAATAAAGTTCAATAAACTTACTATTTGATATATTGTTTATTTTCACTTAATTAATAATTATGGTTCAAAAAAATTATTTAAATTTTCAAAACACCATGTTTAACAATACTAATATTTAAAATGAATAAAAAAATATTTTTCTAATTATTTTATAATAAATTGAAAACAATGAAAAACTCATAATACATAAACATATATAATTAAACATAGTTACAATGGTAGAAATTAGATAATGTTATAACATAACGGAAGCATAATGTTTTTCCATAACAAAACTAAAACAAAAACTGATACATAGATAATCCAACTTATCCTATAATTCCTATTTAATGATATACTAATAATATATATACTATTCCAAAAAAACTAATGGGGACACTTTCTTAGATTGCATTGGAAATTATATTTGGTCCACGTGGTTGGTGTCTTATATATATTAAATTTTAAAAAAATCTTCACATTTTTTTTGTCATACTTTTGCATATGGTAATAGAACAAAAATTATATTAACTTTTCTTGATTAATCGTTTTCTTTATCCCCGTACAAAAGTCATCTAATTCCAAACTCATTTTATATTTACAATTTTGTGGGTTTTCTTGAAGAGGGTCTACAAGTGGAAAGATGAAAATAACAAAGATTGGTTAAAATAAATAAAGTGAAAATTAAAGCTTTGTTTGAATAGAAATTGAAAAGAAATAAAAAAGGAGATTTAGAAAGAGTGTAAAAAAAAAAACTAAATTAAAAAAAATATTGATGAGACTAACTCACTTTTTAATTTACTTTTATTTTTAACTGTAAAATTAAATTTATCATTTTGATTTGCACTTTCTCTCCACTCTAACCAAATAAACCACATAATTAGTATGCTTATCTTTAATTTTATGATATATCTCCTAAAAAATGTAATTAAAGCTTAGTCATAGTTTGTGCCTTAATACACTATACTAATTGCGCTATATCTTAATGAGCACTGGTAACACATAATAAACCACTTCTGAAGGAAATAAAATGAACTAAAACACATAAATGATTTTCATTAATGAATCATGAACCACGAATTTTCTAAAAAAATATTTATATCACATCTAACCAAAATTCTTAACTCATTAATTTGTAATATTTCTTATTTATATCTTGTCTACACTAGATTTGTAATGTTTCTAATTTCTATCTTACCATTTCTACCTAATGTAAACATGTTACGCATATTTGTCTTCAAACACCATGTTTCCTATGCTTTCGTCCTATGTTGGGTGCAAAGCTATTAGTTAGACTTCACTTTTACTTATGGAAGATGACGAAAACCAACCATTGAAGGATACAAAAAGGTATATAAAAATTAAATACTGAAAGCAAACAAGGATGGGTATATATCTATAAATGAAAGTGTCCTATTTCGACTTAATATATTCTTGGTCTTGGCTGAGAGAAAATATCAAGAAGAATCTCATATCGTGTATCGATTCGTCCTTAAGAATCTCACATTATCTACTTCGAACCTCAATTCTCAAATTTAATTTATATATCTAATGATATTTTTATTTTATATTAATTGATTTTAAGTTTAAAGGTTGAGGAAAAAATGTGGTAAGTGAAGTGTAGGCCCTGAGGCATGTGAAGTGGGAGAATCATCTTATCATGTCGGTGGCATTTAGACGAGTCTGACAATGTTATGGAGCATGTCCCTGTGGCATCCTAATCCTTTTGTCGGAGACTATTTCTAAGAACATCCGTACTTAGGTAAGTTTGAAAGTCCAAGAGGTTGTGTCCTTGAAATAGCATATTCAATCGCTTTCAGCTTTTACCATTCAGAATAATATACCTATCCTTCTCCATCGTTTTACCCTCCACTTACTCTTCCTAATTCATCTAACGGACACAACATCTTTGGATTATCCTTTCCACGGTGGTGGCCCCATCACCCCGTGATAGGATTATATATAAAGAGAAAAGAGAATAAAAATTAGAAAATTATTTTTTAATTTAGAAATATTAAATTAAATTTTCTTAATTATTATATTATAAGGACACTGGTACTATAAGTGATTAAATTTTGGCCTTAAGAATTTGATGGTCAAGACTACCTCGATCCCTCGGATCACTAATTATAGAGAAGCCAGCCACGTCAAACAAGGAATTAGGGAAACGTCAAATCTCCATTTCCATCATACTTTATAGGGAAATTATTACCCTCTATTGATTGTCGATGACAATTTGTGGTGGTGGTGTTCATCGTCCTGCATCAACCAACATGGCCTCACGTGTCCACTTTCCCTGCCTGTCATCTTGGTGGATGGGGTGGGAGGGTGTTAGGATTCAAGCTCCACTTCTGATTCATCATGCAATTAATGATTTTTCTCATTATCCATGTATTCCTAGATATTTTATTCATTTCTAGGTTGTCTCTTTTTGTTTTTACCCTTTTCCATGATTTAACTAACGCAGACACACACGCACAAAAGTCTTTCCCTCTGAACAAACCGGTCGGGAGAGCATGCAAAAGCAACGTCCCTGAGTGTGAGAGAGAGAATACTAACGAATTCATTCTCTGTTTGGGCTATTGTTTTTGACACATACTCACTTCTTCACTCTCTTATGAATAGTAGAAACAAATTATTCAAGGTTATAAAGGTAGCCTATGTAGGAAGCACAAAACAGCCCCTACTACTTAGTTACTGAAAGTTACAAGATATTGGTGTCTTAATCATTCAAGACATGAAAGTGAAGAGGGTTGTGGGAATTGGAGTGGGAGCCATGTGAAAAACTTTGCACGGGTTGGATGGCCAAACCTTTTCGACAATGATTTAGCTCCTCTTTCCCATGCTTTCCTTCATGCATACTATTGCCATTCCTACAAAGTCAATCTCTCATCATTTAATCAAGTCTACTGCGTCTGAAGAATAACCAGAATACAACACAACAACCCATCACATCGATCCATCAAGCACAATCACGGAACTCAGTTTTGAGGTAAACATATATATATTTTCTGGTATACTCTGCAACAACAATCAATCAGTTTCTTTCTAAATAGTATTATAAATTCTATAAACTTATAGAAAACAAGTACTGTATATACTATTTAGTTGTGAAAACTTTGGAAATTCTCCAGCTGCTGAAAAGTTTCCTATGAATTGTGTTCCATTATGCTTGCTTTCGTTGCTTCATTAATTTCATTTCCTTACGTGTTGTATGGGCCTAGCAGAAGCAGTTAGGAGCTATTATTGCCATAATTAGAAAACAACCTTGAGGTCCCAATGATGGTATAATAATTCCACACACCCTCCTCAAATAGTGTAATCAGATCTCTTTATCAGTTGCCAAAGCTACCCTTAAAAATGTGCGGGTATTAAAATTCTTTGAAATGATGCAACTCACAAAGAACACAAATTACTTGAATGAACATTTGAAATGACGAAACAAACCCCACACAAGTAATTGTTTGCCCTACGAGTCCATTCCCATGTTGTATCATAGTACACAACACCTTCACTCTCCAAAGTCACCATTGCAATTACTGATACACACGATCGACACTAGTATCTTGTTCCCTATAAAATGAGACGATATTTCAAGTTTTGATCCAATTTAGAACATAATTGAGAATGTTTTCTATAGAACAACAACTAAACAAATAAATAATGGTTTATTGGTATATTTCTTTTGTGTCTACATTACGAAGTTATATTTAGTAACAAAATTAATATCTGCAGCAGAGTTTGGATTTGTATATATAGCAAAGTGGGAAGAGAAGGAAAAAGAGAGGTGGGTAACGATGGATCGGTCAGAGAAATCGCCGAAGAAAGTCTCATCACTGAGATCTTCATTTCCGAGAGATCCACGTGGCTCACTCGAAGTATTCAATCCAAACACTTCAACTTCAACGAACTCGGGCGAGCGTTCGCAGCCGATTCGGAAACCATGGATGGAGCCGGAGGAACCGCGCAACGAAATCTCCGCCACGTCGTGGATGGCAATTAATCCAGAGCCGCTGACAGACGGAGAATGTGGCGCGGCAGTGCAAAGGGCCGCGGAGTGGGGGTTGGTGCTCCAAACCGACACCAAGACCGGCAAGCCGCAGGGCGTGGCGGTGAGGAACTCCGGCGGCGAGGAACCCAGGAAGAACTCTCAGAGCTCCGTCAGAACCTCTGGCGACTCCACCGACGGAGGCACCGTGGGTGGGACTCCGGGCATTTCGGAGGAAGTGGTGGGGGCTTTATCGGCTTTCCAACAAACTTTTGTGGTCTCGGATGCTACCAAACCCGATTTCCCGATCCTGTTTGCGAGTGCCGGGTTCTTTCATATGACGGGGTATACGTCCAAGGAAGTTATCGGGAGAAACTGGTAGGAACCCTATTTTTCATGATATTTTAATTTCACAACACTTTTTACAGCTTCAGAAACTGGGTTTCATAACCAATGTCTTAAAAAAATATTAAGAAATTTAAAAACAATTTTTTTAGTAGAAACTGTACTTGAATGTACAATTTTTATTATTTTAGTTGTCATTTACCTCACAACATTTTCAAATATGATAATAATTAGTAGTGCTTAAAAGTCACAACTTACATTAAAAAACAAAGTCATAACTTAAATATTTTTTAATTAATTGATATATAGGTGTATGAAATGCGTAATTAAAGAACATACTAGAATCTATGAAAATTAATATTTTAACTAGAAAAAGAGAGATAAAATGTGTTTTAATTAAGATTTTTAATTTTTAATAAAATTAGTATTAGAGCATATCTGGGAATTTATAACAAAAATTATTTAAAAATAAATTTAACTATTTTATTAAGTATATCACAGTTAATTTTTTAAAAATTTAGTTAGAATTACTTACTTAAATAATTTTCTTTTAATTTTAAATATTTTTCTTTATTTTTAAATCACTCGTATTTATAATAAAATATTCATTTTTCTTTATTTTTAAATTACTCGTATTTAATATTTACTTTTATTTTTAAACAATTTTTTATAATACCTCTCTCTTTAAATATGTTCTTAATTCTTATATTTTAAATACGATATTTTTTATAATTGGTGAATTTGATTTCTTTTAAGAAAATTAAAATCCAACAGATAAAATTCACTAATTATAAAAACAGCAAATTCTTACAAATAATTTGATCATCAACTTTCATAATTAAAATTTAACCAAAAATGATTTAAAATTCCTTAAAAACTATTCAAAATAAAATAATTAAAAATTAATCTAATAAGTGTGATTCAATTTACTGTACAATTTAAAATTATATAAAATACATCTTTAAAAATTAAATATAATTCAGCCATAAATAAACAATAAGTCTATAAAAAAAAGTATAGAAGGAAAAATTTGTAAAGTTAGTTGTAACTGTAATGAGGAGGTTTACTTTGGAGCGGAGTCCAGTCGGTTTTTGCAGGGTGCGGATACGGATCCTGCTGACGTGGCAAAGATACGGGAAGCATTGCGTATTGGGAGCGGTTACTGTGGAAGGTTGTTAAATTACAAGAAGGATGGGACACCTTTCTGGAACCTTCTCACCATTTCACCCATTAAGGACGAAGATGGCAAGGTGCTCAAATTTATCGGGTAAGCTAGCTTCTAATTCAATTCAATTCACCTGTGTTGAATTTTGGATTACAGTGTGTAATTTTCTGGTGTTAGTTTCTGTCCTTGTCATCTTCATCGGAGTTGGTTGGGACCAAAATTGACGAGTCATTAGATTTTTCATGGCACACGTGGTGTCTGTTGCAAATTTTAAGAAAGAAAAAAGAGCGTGGGTCGCGAGACCTGCATGCATTTCACCTTCCATTCTCACCAGGACCACTCTCTATGGAGAGCTACGTTTAACTGTTTATGTCATTTTCTGGCTTTGTTTTCTACACTTGTATATGTATTTGACTCTCTTTTTTGGTTGGGGAATGTTAGGAAATTTTCAACCATGCAATCTTGTAGAGTTTTACACCTTCCTTCTCCAATAGAGACAGCTAACATGCATGCTGGATATAACAGCGTTAAAACTCAATAATATGTATATGTCGCAAGTAGAGTGTAAAAAATAAATGAATTAGTATTTTCCATTTTCCACTATTTTTTTTATGAAATCAGCAAAACTAGCTTTCATGATCCAATGTTTTTTTTTTCTTTCCTATTGTGATGGTGATTGGTAGAATGCAAGTTGAGGTTAGCAAGCACACGGAGGGGTTCAAGGAGAAGACCGTACGTCCCAATGGAATGCCCGAATCCTTGATTCGATACGATGGTATGCTCATTTCATTCCACTCCAATAATCATTAACGTTATTTTATCATCTGGAGGAAGAACACCATTGTTTCTCGTTCAAGCTTAATTACTGATACCCATGAAGTAAACTATACAGATTATTATAAGAAACAATTGATAATCCATTCTTGCAACATCAATGAAAAGAAACTGAAAGTGATGTGAAGGAAAAAAGTATTCAAAATGTAGTAAAATAAAAAGTAACGAAACCACAGATCGATAAGATACAATAACAATGTAACTTATTTTGCAGAAAATAACAATACATTCAAACACAATATTAACAAATATTTCGTACATTATAAAGTTGAATTTTTAAGATGTAATAAATACTTTAAATTAAAATTTTAATAATGTCTATTAATTTTTTTTTACTTCATATATAAATATCTATAAGTATGATAACATTTTTTATTGATAAAAAATAATATCCCAAATAAACTAATACTATATTAACTTACACTTGAGAAATATTTTTTATTTAGAAGAAACATATTCTTAAAAATAAAATAAAATAAAATAATAAAAAAACAGAGAAAACAATTCTTTTTCTCCTTAAGTTTATATAAAAATATTATGATGAACTAAAACATCCGGAAGAAAATATATATTTTTTTTAATTTACATAAAAAAAAACTTACAAAATAGTAAAAGTGGAAAGCTAAGTTAAGAAATTATATTAGAATATCAATAGCAATATTCGAACATTATGTTGATAACTAAGTGTAAAATATACATATAGTTAATAACCATTTTTATTAATAGAATAATATTATTGTAAAAATATTAAAAATTATATTTGAATAGTCAAATTATATTTATTTTTCAAAAAATTTGTACTTTTATAATACATGATTGTTTACAATAAATTTTTTAAATTATAAATATGAAATTAATTTTAAATTTAAAATAAAATTAAGTAGCAATAAAATTAATGTTCAAATTAATTTTTAAATTGGCAGTATCAGAGATATGTTCTAACAAATATTAAGTATATTGCATGGATAATTTAAATTTATATAAAATATTTTTTAAATTATATATAAGAGATAATAATAATAAAAAAGTAAGATGTAAAATATCACTAAAAAATTTATAAACAATTTAAACTTGTATGTTATGTCTGAAATGACCAATATTACATTTTCAAAATATAAATTGTGATACATTACGAGGAAGAGTAAACATGATAATTTATCTTAATCTTTATAAAGAAATAATGAGATTTAGTGTTTCAGTTATTTTAGTAAATGAATTATTTCTCTTTATATACAGACATATTTTGAAAAATAAAAAACCGTTTAAATAAGATATTATTTAATTATAGAAAATATATATAAATCGTAATCTAATAACAACATGACATGATATAATAATGTCGATATTATTTTTAGAATATAAATTAGACATCAACATGATTTAAGTCTATAAAATTGATCATGTACGGTCTTACCTATTTATATGTTACAACCTAATCATATACCAGTGTTAAATCATGAACTTCTGATTCCATGTTTCGTAAACATGATTTAAGATAAAAATGTAACATAACTTCAATTGGCATTTACATACACAACAAACCTAAATGGTAATAAGGATTCAGCATGAACCAATTGGCAATGTGAAAGTCCAAATATATGATTGACAATGTAGTTAATAGATTTTCAGTGTTTAAGTAACAGTTCCAACGGCTAGTGAATTGGATTGAATTGCAGCACGCCAGAAAGAGAAGGCTACAAGCTCAGTATCTGAGTTGGTGCAGGCCATGAATCGCCCCCGAGCATTGAGTGAATCCGCAACCCGTCCCTTTATCAGAAAATCAAGATTTGCTGAGGAAGAAAAACAATCACAACATGCCGAAAAAGAGAAAGGGAAAGTAGAGAAAACATCAAGAAGAAAATCTGAGAGTACGGCTTCATTTGGAAGCAAATCTGAAAGAGGAAATCAAATTTCAATGCACCGAAACAGTGATGTGCCTGAAAATAAACTGAGAAACTCTCTGCGCCGTTCTTTCATGGGGTATATTTTGTTATTTAATTATGTTATTAATCTCTGTTTCTTCATGACTAGGATAATCCCTAACAAATTTGTATATTATGTTTCAAATCGGAAAATAATATTTTGTATATACAAGATTACTACCGTGTTTAATATCTCTTTATATCTTTGTATGGCAAGGGACTTCTGTTATTGGTCACATTAGGTTTTTTATAATGTATAATCCATCATCGATCCTTCATAGTGCAAAAAAGAACACAATTTAGATGTAGTTGTATAAGTCCTTTCAATGTAGTTTTTTAACTAGAATTGAAATTCCATTTTAGTATGAATCCATGCCATAAATTATTTTATTAGAGGTCAAAATATAGATTACCGAAGCGAAATTCAGACAAGAGAACAAAACAAAAAAAATACTTAATAAGAATACAGTTTAGTTCTGGAAAAAAGTTAGACAAATATGGCTAATGTGGTCGCAATTGCTGTTACAATGCTGTTGTTCGCTGAGACTCCAAAATCTTAAAGTTGTTGTGATTGCGGACAGTTTCTTAAACGTTCATCCATTGTATAACACAAGTCACTGTGATATATTTGCATGCTGCAGGTTCAGGCGGAAAAGTCAGTCCACCAATGAAAGCGTGGAAAGTGAAATTGGGGACGTCACCTTTCAGTATGAGGATGATGAGAGGCCTGATAGTTTTGAACTAGATGACATAGAAAAGACGAGGGAAAAGAGAAAAGGTCTTGATCTTGCTACCACGCTTGAGCGCATTGAGAAAAACTTTGTCATTTCTGATCCAAGGCTTCCAGACAATCCAGTAGTAAGATTCTCTGAATCATTTGTACTACAGTGAAAGTGTTTTTCTTCTGCGTTGGATTATTGTACTGGAGGTAAACATGTAACACTGTAAAGTCTGTACTTGTTTTTGCTTTTTCAGATCTTTGCATCCGATAGTTTCTTAGAGCTTACAGAATATAGTCGTGAAGAAATCTTGGGAAGGAATTGCAGGTATATGCTTTAAATTGAATGTTCATACACGGCAAGTATACTATGCTAGATGGAAGCTGGTGACTCAAATTTAAATTCCTCTATGAAAATTTAATAATATTGATTTACTAACATGAAATGATAGAAAAATCGTTGCTATAGTATCACAATTCAGTTTGTTTACATAATATGCCATTTGACTATTTAGGTTTCTGCAAGGACCTGAAACTGATCGAGCAACTGTGAGAAAAATTAAAGAGGCAATTGACAACCAAACAGAAGTTACCGTGCAACTGATTAATTATACCAAGAGTGGTAAGCTGGTTTGATTTTCTGCTGGTAAAACAACTTCTGTTAAATTCTTATAGATTGGGATTTATATGTATTGTGTTTAATTAGGTTTAGAATGTTAGGGAATGCTTACCAGGTATTCCATATCACACATGTGAATTTAAAGAAATAGAAATACTGTTATCTCTGTTTTTCACGAATATCATTTACCTGTACTAGTACTAATTCAGAAAAAAGTTCACAGTATTTGCTATAAATTCCTGTTCTAGAATCCTGAATGTCTTTCTTAGCGTACTAAAGACACAAAGAAATATATTTAACGTGAAGATCAATAATGTTGCGATTATTTTTCCACTTGCTATTGAAGATTTCTCTGTTCAACCAGGAAAGAAGTTCTGGAACCTGTTTCATTTACAACCTATGCGTGATCAGAAGGTACAGCGTATGATAGTCCTCTGATGATGTTACATCCTTTAAGATCTTGCCGTACAAATGTTATTTTGGGTAGTTGATCATATTCTTTTCACCTATATTTTAACATAACAGTATACGAATGTAAGCTTTTGTCTGTTTTCCTCCTTGGTTTAACAGGGAGAGGTGCAATATTTTATTGGTGTTCAACTTGATGGCAGTCAACACGTAGAGCCTCTTCACAACCGCATCAACGAAGATACTGCAAAGGAGGGAGAACAAATGGTAGCTCCCTACTCAAATTTTTCATATGAATTCATAAATTTTTCTCATCATCATCATCATCAATATCCAAAATCAGGCTCCAAATTCTGATTATTTTTTTATAATATAGGATTTAAATTTGGAAGTCTATGCATTATGATTTCAACTGAAATATTTTACCTGTATTATGGATTATGATTTCAACTGAAACATTTTACCTCTATTATGAGCTCTTTTTTAGTGTGTCCATGTATTAGTGGGAAAGTTAGTTCTAGTTATTACTCATTATGCTTTGTATTTCCTGAGTTATAACAAGTACATTTGAAAACCATCCTCAGATCAAACAAACTGCAGAAAATGTTGATTTGGCGGTGAGAGATCTTCCGGATGCTAATACGGTAAATCTACTGCAATTAGTTATCTTTTTCTTCTGAAGAGCTTTTGACTTCAATGGTGAAATGACCACCCTATTGGCGCTCTCCAGAAACCACACGATTTATGGGAAAATCATTCAAAACCAGTTTACCCCAAACCCCATAGGAAGAATGATCCAGCATGGAAAGCTATCCAGAAGGTATTAATTTCGGATTTGAGAATGTGTCATTTTTACCAATTTCTTGTGAATTCTATTAACTGCTTAATGATTTTGGAAATTCTTTTACTCTATACGGTTATAAAATACGAACGAGGGGCAGATGTGATTAATACTTCATGTACATTTGTTCTTGGTCTTCGTTTCTTTAAATTTCAAGGATTTAGGAAATTATCATAATTTTCTGTTAAACTATACATTGAAGATTAGTTTATTGAGTTGGTAAACATGCAATGAAACTATATAAGTTCCTTCTGTATCCCATTGGGTATTTTGGACTTTCCTGGTCACTTCTTGAATCTCAGGTGCAATTTATGTTAATTAGCAAATTGTTCTGTGTCCTTGTTTTTGCAGGTCCTAGAAAGTGGAGAACAGATAGGCTTAAAGCACTTTAGGCCGATTAAACCTTTAGGGTCAGGAGATACTGGAAGGTTTTTCCCCCTATTTCTCTACTGCATTTCCCTATTTCACAGTTGCTTGTACAGTTCTACTGTTAACGTGGGGGTTAAATTAAGTGTCAGGTATGAAATGAATTTAACCATAGGACTGTGATGCTGAGGCCGAACCCCAAAATATTGATTATATATATATATATATATATATATATATATATATATATATATATATATATATGTATAATTTATAAAATTACCTTTTAAATATATAATTATTTTTTATAGATAATAATAATAATAATTATAATAAATATTATTTATATTTATATTTTTTTCTATATATATATATGTATAATTTATAAAATTACCTTTTAAATATATAATTATTTTTTATAGATAATAATAATTATTATTATAATAAATATTATTTTTATTTTTATTTTTTTCTCTTATTCTCTTTTTCTTTCATATTTTTATTTTCTCTGTTTCAATTTTAAACACTCATTTTTTATTTTTACATTTTTTTTATCAGTCTTTTACTTATATTTTTCTTTTCACACTTTCAGAATGTAATAGAAAATTTATATTTTTTTTCTTTAATTTTTATATTTCTTTTTGAAGTAAGCAAATTTTTTACTGTTTTATTTTTCATTATTGTGATATATTATCATGTATATATTTATTATTAATTAGTTAATTATTTTAATATTTTATAATATTCCACTTTATATATATATATATATATATATATATATATATATATATATATATATATATATATATATATTATTCCATTGACTTCCACGTCGAAAATGTCTGACTCGGTGATGCTCCATCTAACCACATTTGACTGAGTTACCCATACGAAGATTCTACTAGTGTAATTTTATCTTTTCTTCTCTGGAATTGCTGCATACATAAAAAACCTTATAGATTAATTAGTCTCTTTAGTTATTCAAAAACTAAAGCGAGCTAAAGATTTAACCTTAGAATTTCTTGGTTGATTTTGGTAATTGACAGTTTCTTGTTGTTCCATTATTTTAAAAAAGCAAGCTTCTGTGACAGTGATATTATTGTATTGCAGTGTGCATCTGGTGGAGCTACGTGGAACAGGTCAATATTTTGCCATGAAGGCTATGGATAAGGGTGTGGTGCTGAATCGTAACAAGGTTTTGAACGTGAATTCTGTGATTAATTAACATGAGTTTTTGTTTAGGTTTCCGCTGCTAACTTCTTGATCTATTTATCACGTCGTACAGACATTTTTTTCTTAAAATTCACTACATATAGTATTGGCTTCATTTTATTTTCCTTTTGGCATTGAACTTGTATCAAGTCAATAAGGATTTCTCAGCATCGAAATACTAGTTCACTTGAAACAGTACACATACATTATACATTGCCGTGTTTCTAATTATCCTAAAGTAACAAAATTATTATTCTAATTGTAATTGTGTAAAAAAATTTATAGCAGCATTTACCCATGCTGTTGTAATAGGTTGGTTTTTATACACTTTCTACAGGTGCATAGAACTTGCGCAGAGAGAGAAATCCTTGACAAGCTGGATCACCCTTTTCTACCTGTATTATATGCTTCGTTCCAGGTTAGAAACTTGAATTCTACTTTTACATTAATAACGCATTAATTGTTATTTATCAATTACGAATAACTGGTAGGAACACTAGGATCAGCTATCACAGAGTTAAAATATGTCATATCAAGCTTTTTACCAGAGATCCTAGGGATAATAATTTAACGAATTACATTGTCTTAATGTCTTTAATTCCTATTACACCTAATTCTGAAGTTACAGAGTATCAAGGATATTCACGTGACTTGCTTACTATGATTTACTGAATTAGTCGAATATTTGTAACTTATTAACTTGCAGACCAAAACACACATTTGTTTGGTAACTGATTATTGTCCTGGGGGAGAACTATTCCTGCTTCTTGATCGGCAACCAACTAAGACTCTAAACGAGGACGCGGTGAGGTATAATATACTACTCCATATAGAATATATCTATATATCAGCAGAGGCAGAGGGACGGAACTGACAGAGGCAATGGTCCCAATTTTTTTTAATATCTTTTAAATTTTATTAAAAATTATTTTATGACTCTTCACAAAATTTATAAATGTTTATCTCCGTTGTATTCTTTTTCTCACTCTATCATTTATCACCAATTTAAGATGATGGAATGGAGTAGATATAGTGATGGAAAGAGTTTTTATTAAAATTATTTTTACACGTTTAAAGTGGAGAGGAGCTTTCAAATTTGATATTTTGGAAAGTATATTCCCAATTTAAGAGAGTGTACATAAAAGAAAAAGATGGCCAATAGTTTGGCAATTTAAACGGTTCGCCGTGGTTTGCCAAATTGAATATATAGGTTATAAGACCAAATCTTTCACGGGTTCTCATTATCCACTACATGCACCAAAAGGCATATATAAATTGTTATAGTTCGTTTTTTGTAATGAATTTAAGTTATGAGGAACTCTTTATTTTGAAGTTTGAACAAAAGGTTGTTCTCCAAAACCGTCTGCTTCTTGTGTTTCGCTACTTTTCTTTAACTGACATTTTTTTTTAATATTTTTAGATTTTATGTAGCTGAGATAGTGATTGCATTGGAGTACCTTCACTGCCAAGGTAGGCTCTTATTCGGCTGATGTACATATGTATATGATAACCATGGTTGCTGTCTTCTCTTTTAACTTTTGAAACTGTCTTGCAACTTGAGAGATATTCAGTGACAAAATATTCCGGAATCTCTGTGATGAAATTATTTTGCTGCAATATATATATATATATATATATATATATATATATATTTTTTTTTTTTTTTTTTTTTTTTTTCAAGACATAAGTGTCATATGCTCAAATACATACTTTTCTGCCCATGAAATAAATGTTGTCAGTTCTGATGTATACCAAGACATTTACTTGTTAGAACAAAGTTTATGATGACATTGTTTGGTGAGAATTTACAGGGATAATATATCGAGATTTGAAACCTGAAAATGTGTTAATTCAGAGCAACGGGCATGTGTCGCTAACCGATTTTGATTTGTCATGTTTAACATATACTAAGCCACAGGTATATCAAAGACATGGACTTGATAAGGTTGTTTTAAGTAGAAATAATACTTCTTAAGTTTAATTAAGGTCTATGAAACAGTTTTATCTATGTCTATTTCTTTGCAGCTTATAATTTCAGTTTTCAATTCAAAAAAGAAAAAGAAGAAACATAAAATTCAGGAGGTTCCAATGTTTATGGCTGAACCAATGAGAGCATCAAATTCTTTTGTTGGCACGGAAGAGTACATAGCTCCGGTTTGTAATTCCTGCACTTGTTTTAAGTTATCGAGCACTATAACTATGGTTCAATCTATGCATGATTCAACTACGTATTTCATTTTGAGGATGTGCTAAATATTAATTTATTATTATACATACAATGTATTTTCACATGCAATCGATACTTAGAAAAAGAATGTTTTATTAGCAAATGCAAGACAAAATAGTAAAAAAAAAAAAAAAACTGATATTCATGAGAATGTTATTTTATTGTAACATGCAATTTTAATTTCGGAAATTTTTATACATATTTTTAGATTTTGTTATCAGTTATAGTCAACTTGTGCAGGAAATTATAACTGGTTCAGGTCACACTAGTGCTGTGGATTGGTGGGCTATAGGTAAATTTTAACTTTTAAAAGAAAATAGAAATTAGACTGTGTAATGATTTTTTATTTTTTATTATTCTCGTTTTAATTAAAAAGGCATAACTGATCTAATAATATGTTAAGCATAACTAACTTAATAATTTGTTATATAATATATATATATATATATATATATATATATATATATATATATATTTGGACAACCCAAAACATACAACTAAAAACAATCCACCCCTAATATTATAATAATAATTTTAAATTATTTTTATTTCATTTTTATCTGTTTTATTATTATTATTATTATTATTATATTAATACATTAGAGTTGTTTTGAAAATTGTTTTTCATACAGTTATGAATATATCACGATGAAAAGTTATTAAATGTCCACTGTAACTATTAAAATATTGACATGCAAGTATTTCACCTAAAGGACGTCATTCATATCAACATAAACATGTACATGTTTAAAGTAAATTAAAATTTTATCACATAATTCACATACATTGACTTCAAAAATGTTTCATTTCAGGTATTCTTATATATGAAATGCTTTTTGGATATACTCCATTCCGCGGGAGAACAAGACAAAAAACATTTGCAAATATTCTTCACAAGGATCTTAAATTTCCCAAAGGTAAACTGGTAAGTGTTCTTCTTCTAAATTTTTAATTTTGATGTATGAATTGGGGAATGCACTTTAAACTCTATTAACATTTCATACTCAGGTGAAAGTCTAATAGAATCTTAATTATATAAAGTCAAACATGAGTTTGGAGTTATATGAATCATGCTGAATTTGCATTCCGTGAACACAATGAAATGAGAATATTGTTATAACATGCAGTAAGTGTTGATGCAGGTTACTGTCATGGTTAAGCAGCTAATTTATTTGTTGTTGCAAAGAGATCCCAGCAAAAGATTGGGGGCACGTGAGGGAGCAAATGAAATTAAACAGCATCCTTTCTTCCAGGGTGTCAATTGGGCACTAGTTCGTTGCATGGTAACATACTAATACAACTTTCAATAAAACTTAAAATATATTTCTTTAGGTGATTTTAATTGCTCTCTTGTTCAATCTAAATCTTCATCTTTGTAATTTTTGTTAACTTTTAATCTAAATTTTTACACAGATTATTGAGATGAAGTTTTATTTTCAATTAGAGAGTAATATAAAAATAGTTAAGTAATTGCATCAAGTTTTGGATTATCATAACAATGTTTTCTACAACATCTAGTTAAACATTCTTGTGATTATCTCTTGTCAGAAACCTCCTGAGCTTGATGCTCCTGCGTTACCGACAATTGAAGAAGAAGAAAGAATAGCCAAAGATACTGAGGATTTACGGACAAATTTTTTCTGAAACGTAATTTCTTCATCCCTCTCTGTATATAGGTTGTGTTATATTTCATTATGTTCAATAGTTTTTGACATGTTATGTCGTGGCCTGTAGGGTTAGAGGATGAAGTTACATGGCATGATAAATGGAAGATTTCCAATGGAATTGATCAATCCCTTGTTTCGGTGGAGCAAAGTTTGATTATGATTACTGAAATTTATAAATGGAAGATCTACTATTTTTCAAGCTGCCCAAACCTCCAACAGGATGTAGGAATTGGGACAATCAAGTAAAATAATATTAGTCTAGTATAGAAACGTGTGTATATTTTTAGACTCATGTGAAACTTGTATTGTGACATAATAATTAAATCAATTTTTGACAAAAATAAATTAGCGCCACATGTTATTCGTTTTTATTATTTTTTATTTACAAAAAATTAAGTTTAACTATATATGAAATATTCTTAGAAATAACTTTCTAAGTTAACAAATTTTAAAAATAGAAAGCTAACTAAAACAATTTATACATTTAAAAATATTTATAGTCAAATATAAAATAATGGCCTCAATTTGACAAATTTAATGGATATTTTCAATCCCCTTCCATTACTCCGTCAATACATCGGATCAAACATGAAAGTGGAGAATTTGGATGTCTTTTCGATAGTATGTTCTTGATTGTTAATTTTATATTAATAGTTATTTATACTATTATATAAAACATATTTTTATAATATATTATTTATTATCATTTGTTAATATTTTTTATATTTAAAATTATATAAATGAAATAATTAAAAATATAATCTCTTCTATCGTTTTGTTAATACTTTTTTCTGATTTTTCTCTTATTAAATATAAATGAAATAAATAAAAAATTAAAAGAGTTAAATATGTTATTGGTCTTCGTAACTTTCTTAATTTTAGTTTTGGTCCTCTACTTAAAAAAATTAATTAATCCTTAAATTTATAAAAATATATTATTTTAATTATTTTCTATATTTAAATTTAATATTTAATGATAATTTTATATCTTAACACAAATGATAAAAATATTAAATATGTTTTTAATATTTTTATATCTAAATTTGATACTTAATAATATTTTTTATTGTTATAAAATTTACATATAGACAAATTGTACATATTTTTTAAAGTTTGGTGACTAAATAATTAATTTTCAAATATAAGAAATAAAATTAAATTTATTAAAAAAACAAAAAATATTAAAATTATCCTTTTTTTATTTTTATAATCACGTGTTCTCTCAATAATAATAATAATAATAATAATAATAATAATAATAATAATATTATTATTATTATTATTATTATTATTATTATTATTATTATTTCTCTCTCAATCACACGTTATCCTCAATTTCTTTCTCTTATATTGAATATAAATAATAAATAAAACAATTAAAAACTATCATCTGCCTCTCTTTATCTGATCAAATTTCTCTCATATTGAATATAAGATGAAATAAATAAAAATAATTAAACATTACCATCCTCATGTAGTCCTCTTATTACAAATTCTTCTTAACTTCTCTCTTATTATGAATATAAATTAAATAAATAAAAATAATTAAAAACTATCATCTCTCATCTATTCGTTTAATCATATGTTCTCTTTATAGGATATAAATTAAATAAATAAAAATAATTCTCTACTTATTTAATCACACATTCTCCTAGATTTTAAAAAAAATATAAATAAAAACTTTCGTCTCTTCTTTATTCTTCCAATCACACATTCTTTTCAAATTTGCTCTCTCATATTAAATATAAATGAAATAAAAAAATATATTAAAAACTATCATCCCTTTCTTATACTCCCTCCACACATGTTATTCTCAATTTCGCTTTATAGAATATAAATTAAATAATAAAACATTATTATCTCTCATCTATACTCATTCAATCACACACTCTCCTCAATCTCTCCCTCTCTCTCCTTTTCAACATTCAAGTTTAAATAGCAAATATTACATTATAGTTAACAACTAATATTTTTATTTATAATTATGTTATCATAAACATATTAGTGATTAAATATTTTGGTAGTTAAAAAGGTGACTGATACTTTTTCCCACTAATTGTTTTTTTATCATATTAGCGATTATAAATTTTGGTCACTAAAACATTAGGAACCAAAATTTTTGTGGCAAACTTTTTTTTTTACATATCGTGAATGAATATTTTGATTGCTATAAATTTAGACCAATAGTTTCCATCGGTGTTTATTTAAATTAAAATTTCAGTGATTGAATCATTTAAGCTTTTAACATGAAAGTAGTGTTCGAAATATTTTATCAATATTTCTTTTATGTTTATAATCGCATTAGAGGTTGAATTCAAACAAAATATGTCACTAAGTTAATCGTGACATTTTTTAAAAATACCATCCAAATAAAGACCAAAGTATTAATAATTTGTTTTACTAATAATTTATTGGGACCAAATATTACGAATGGTTGTTTTTACCGTAAATCCAATTGTGCCATAAATACTTGTAGTATTTACAATGCTACAAGAAAAATATTTACAACTATCAACTATTTACAATTATTTATTATGATTTTTTAGTTTTAAATATTTTGTAATTTTATAATTATCAAATATATCAACAAATTTTAATAATTTAACCAGCAAAATCTCTGTTATAAATAATTATACTTTAAGGATGTTAGAGACTAAATTTTTAGAAGCTAAATAATTAGTAAGAAATATTTTTGTTGTTGATTATTTTGTTTTAATTGATTTTTTATTTCTAAATAATTAGTAACTTAAATTTTTGTGGTTAAATATTTTTTTATAATATTTAATGACTACAAAATCCAATTGTTAACTAATCAATAACTATGATTTTGATTTGTAACTTGTTTTAAATATGGGGATAATTTTTTTTCTCAATAGTTAGCCACCAAGATTTTTATTGTTAACTATTTTAAATATAACATATATTCTCTATTTTATTTAAATATATAGCGACTGAGTTTTTTTTTCCACTAAACACCTAACTTCCAGAATATTTTATTGCTAATAATAATTATATTTTGAATATATTAATATTTTATTGCTAATAATATATTAATGATTATATTTTTATCATTAATTAATTAGCAACAAAAATTCTGGGGTTAATTATTTAGTTTAGAACATACATGCAATTGATTTATTTTTTTTCCGTTAGAAATAGTATTAAAAATTTTCTTTATTAACTATTTTATTTTTAATATAATTGTGATTTATTTTTTTCTCTCAAAATAATTAGTTATCAAACTTTTCATAGTTAATTATCCTGTATTAAAAACAATTGGTTGCTAAAAGATTAGTGACTAAAATTTTGTATACTAATTATATTATTTTAAGTATATTTACAAATCAATATAATAGCAAATAAGTTTTTTATTGTTAAATAATTAATGATAAATATTTCTTATGTTAATTATTATATTTTGAACATATTAGTAACTATTTTTTTTAAATAACTAATGTCTAATATTTTGTTGCTAATTATTTGTGATATATTTGTAATAAAAAAATTGTCATTAAAAAAATAACGACAAAAATTATTAGTATAATTATTTTATTTAAATATATCAACAATTATTTTTTTCATTAAATAATAAACTACCAAAATTTTGGTGGTGAAAAAATAATTACTAATATTTTTATTTTTAACTATTTTGTTGGAAATAATATTGATTGGATATTTTAATTATTACAAAATTAGTTATTAATATATTTTTTTATTCAATATTTTTTATTTAACATGTTAGTTACTGAATATATATATTTTTTAAAATATTAACCACTACTTTTTTTCATTAATTTGATTTTTAACATATATGTGTTTAAAGCCTTGTCACTCTAAAAACAGCTATGATATATTTTTCTTTTAATTGTTTTGTTTTAACATATAGTTTTTACATATTTTTTAGATAAAAAATTATACACATAAATTTTTTTACATATTTTTATCAATAATTTTTTTTTAATATTGGAATACAAAAATTCATACAGTAAAACTTATATGAACTTATATTATTATTATTATTATTATTATTATTAAAATGTTTGAATTTTATTTTTTTAAAATAGTTTTTTTTAATTGAAAACACTATTTAAATTAATCATTTAATAAAAAATTTACAACTGCTTGTAAAAAAATAAATCATATAAGGTTTTTATAAAAAAAATAATGCCTAAATATTTTATGAATATTTTTTCATCATTTAGTTTGAGACTCTTTAATAATATTTTTTTTCTCATTAAAGTGATTCATACCACTTTTTCAAACAAAATATAGTGATTACTATAGACTAAAATATTGATAATTTTTTCAGTGTGGCCAAATCAATTTGTCAGTAATTGATTATTTTTTACAACTTGAAATTTCTTACTATTCTGTCAAAAATCCACTTATATCATAAATAATCTTATCCACTTATATCATAAATAATCTTAAATACATTGACGCAAGTCTTTGGATTTTTTTTTCATAATATAGTTACAAAAGTTTTTATGATAATAAAACAAATAAAGAATGCAAATGGTGATTTTATTTTAAATATATAATTAAAATTAATATAAACATTAAATTTTAAATCATTAAAATAGAAACTTTTAAAAAAATAATAATAAGCACACATGTGAACTAATTGTTGTGTTTCCACTAAAATAATGTGAAATAATTATTATAAAATTATTGAGATATATTAATATATTGTTATAAGATAAAAATGTAAAAAATATTAAACTGGAAGATATATTATAATATTAAAAACAAATAAAATATATTATAATTTTAAAAATAAATTATAATATTTTGTATTATGTTATTTAAAGGATATAAATATTAAGAGTAATAGAATAAAATTTAAATTATGACTACTTATTAATTAAATCTCAATATTTTTTGTAACTAAATAATTTAATATGTAAAATATGGTAATTAATCAAGACAAAATTTAGATATATTTACATAATGTATTTAAAAATATTATTGTTTTAAAATATTATTTATTTATAAGAATACAATAAAAAATTACGTTTATATATTACTACTATAATATAAAAGAATTTTACAATTAGTTAATTACAAATTATTTTTAATATAAAATTTAAGTAATTATTGTTAAAATTAATGACTATTATTATTTCTTTATCTTACTTAAGAAGAATCAGTTTATTTCATATTTTATCATTTAATATAACTATTATTATTTTGTATGAATTTTTCTTTTTTTTCCTGTTGGAATATTTTACGGTCAAGTTTTCAATTTTCACACATTTTATCATGTTTCTCTTTATTTTTATGTATCTTTTCATCGTGTTAATAATCAAATAATGTAATTTTAAAAAATACTTTATAATAAAACAACATAATATTTTGGAACACGTGAATACGTCATTATTTTTTTTTAACAAATAGGTAAAATGAGTGTGTTTTTTTAATACAATGATAAAATATGAAAAAAATACAAAAATTTACAAAATAATATTATTATTAAATGATAAATGTATAATTAAGCCTAAAATCCTGGAAAAATATGACATAGAATAATATATTTAAAACCACCAGAACAATATAAATGTAAAATGTGATCCAATTTCAACATAATAATATTACAAAATCATGATATTATAAAATAAAAATAACTTCAACCAAAAAAACACAGCACAAAAAATGTCACAAAAATAATATTACAAAAATTACAACAAGACCAAGTTAATTTACATAAAACACCCATAAACAGAAGACAGGTGGGTACAGTAAAGGTGAAAAAACTGTTAGCATTTTGCTGTTTTCAGTAATTCAATGAAGTTCTGTTTGGTTTGATCAATATAAGACTTTTTTAGGAAGATGAAAAGATGCGAGGGTAAACGACGTCGCATACAAAGAGGGTAACAACGTTTAATCTAGATCTGTGGCAACTCATCCACACACACAACACAATACAACGGTCTACCACGTTCCTTGGCTCGCTCCCTCACTCACTCAATTTTTTTTTTTTTTTTTCTAACTTCTAAACCGAAACATACCAAATCAACTTTTTTTTTTTTTTTTTTTCTCACTCACTCTCGCTTTTTGTTCTTTGCGGTCTCTTTCTCTGCGTTGCGTTCATCCCTGTTTGGTGCGGTGGGAGCTTTTGGTCTTTTCGCAGCCCCATCATCAGTCTCCTAATCACACGGTCCATCTCCGTCCACGTCATCTACGTCTTCTTCGTACCCTCTCCACCTTCCTCTGTCTTCCCCCTCTTCTCACTATATAACAATTTTAGGGTTTCCAAAAGCCATTTTCCAATAACGCACTGCGCAACCTTGCCTTTTCCCTCTTTCATTTAGCACCATGTTCATGTCTCAATTTCTCCATCCGCGCTTCTTCTATAGCGATTCAGGTATTTTATTCCTCGCCCTCATCTCCGATGGCTTCTGATGCTCCGTGATTCTTTTTTCAAATTTCGGTTTTATTCAATGTGTTTGTCCTTTGTTGTTATTATTGGTGGTATTATTGTTTCAGAGAAGTTGAGATTGATTTGTTGTTTTTGTTTTTTATTTTGTAGTGTTGCGATTGTTAGGGTTTTGATTGAGATTTGTTGGTGGAGGGTTCGAGTTTTTGAATTTGGTTGGGCCCGTGAACGCATATGTTTCATGGCAATTGAGAAGAACAGCTTTAAGGTGTCCAGACTTGATTCCGAGTGTTCTCCCCGAAGTAGGGAAAGTATGTCCAGTGACGAAGAGGTCATTTGGCGGCGTAACTCTGCCGTGGAATCTGACGACGACGATGAGTTTGATGATGCTGATTCTGGGGCGGGGTCTGATGATTTTGATTTGCTAGAATTGGGTGAGACTGGGGCGGAGTTTTGTCAGATTGGGAACCAGACTTGCAGCATTCCGTTGGAACTGTACGATCTTGTAGGTCTTGAAGATGTGCTGTCGGTGGATGTGTGGAATGACTGCTTAAGTGAGGAGGAGAGGTTTGAACTTTCTAAGTATCTTCCGGACATGGATCAAGAGACTTTTGTGCGGACCTTGAAAGAGGTTTTCACTGGTTGTAACTTGCATTTTGGGAGTCCCATTAAGAAGTTGTTTGATATGTTAAAGGGTGGCTTGTGTGAGCCGAGAGTTGCCCTTTACAGGGAGGGCATGAGTTCTTTTCAGAAGCGACGACACTATCATCTATTGAGGAAGCATCAGAACAACATGGTCAGCAATCTTTGTCAGATAAGAGATGCTTGGCTTAACTGTAGGGGATATAGTATTGAAGAAAGGCTCCGTGTCCTGAACATTATGAGAAGTCAAAAGAGTTTGATGTACGAGAAGGAAGATTTGGAAGTTGATTCTTCAGATGAGGAGTCTGGTGAAGGTGTATGGAGCAGGAAGAACAAGGATAGGAAAACTTCACAGAAAATGGGCCGCTATCCTTTCCATGGGGTGGGTTCTGGTTCAGATATCCATCCACGAGTACGCTCAGCTGCTATAGAACAAGATAAGTTTGGGAAGCAAAACCCAAAAGGCATACTCAAGTTGGCTGGTTCAAAGCCACCATCAGTAAAGGACCCAACTGGTCGCGTGTCTTCTGCCTACCATGCTTTGGATGTGAGTCCTGGTCTAAATGGTTCAACTTCTGCTCTTTCTCATCAAAACAAGTCAGTGGGATATGATTCAGGGTCAATGCTCAGGATGAGGGATCATCTGTGGAATGGTGACAACAATGAGGAAATGTCATATGGACAGACTGTCTATCAAGATCGCAATTTATTACGTGGCAACATGATGGACAAATCTAGTTTCCGGAAAATGGGAAAGAGGCAGGACCTTCTGAGAGGTGATGAGATGGATACTGACAATATGATGGGTCTGTCTCTGTCTTCAAGGACTGATCTGCATGGATACACTAGAAATGCAAACCAAAATTCTGATTTAAAATCTTTCTCGGCAAAGCCATCTTCTAAGAGAGGTTTGTACGAATATTCTAGAAATGCAAAGTATCCAGAAAATATTCAACAATTTGTTGGTACTGAAGCGAAGTCCAGATTTAGGAGTTCACAGTTACCGCTTAAAGGCAGTATGGTTGACTCAGGAGATTATGATGAACTTTTCTGTAGCAATGAAACACCAGGACAGGAATTTGGTATGGATTCTTCATTTAAATATGATGAATGGTATAGAAAGGGCAAGAAATGGAAGGCAGGGAGGGAGTCTCCTGATCTCAGTTACACTCCTTTCAGATCGTCCTCGCCACAGGTTAATGATAGACTTCTATCCTCTGACTTCAGAGCAAAATCGTTGCAGGAGAAGATCAGGGGGGCTTCTATACAGAATGGAGGGAAAGAGACAATGTCTTTGAGGGGCAACCAGATGCTTTTAAGAAGTGAAGAAACTGAATCAGACTCATCAGAACAGTTAGGTGACGAGGAGGATGACACTACTTTGTTACAGAGCAAATATGCTTACATGGTGGGTACTGCTGCTGGTTCTCACTCAAAATTGTTGAAGTCTCACCTAGATCCCAAGAAGGCCAAATTTGTTACAGATTTGAAGCCACATATGATACCACAATCCAAAAAGAAAGGTGGCTTTACATTACGGGGGCAGATGCATGGTGTAGATAATTACCGTTCAAAAGCAAAGCAGAAGGTTGAAACACGCAACGGTGGTCCTTTTCATAAACAGGCTGGTAAATTTATTGAAGAGGGCTATCCCTTAGGATCCGATATGCTTGATGATGCTGATGATGATTGGAGGCAGGAATACAAGACAGGCAAGAATGGCCGAATACGAGGGGATCCTGTTGGAAGATTAGACATGCCCTCATCAAATGCATACACTGCTGAGCGAAAGAAAAAAGGGAGAACTGACCTCGATCATTCCATTGTGAGGTCTAAATATTTGCATGATTATGTTGGTGATGAAGATGACTCATTTGAAAGACGGATGGTTGTGGACAATAATGAAGTTGGACAGAGTAGGCATGGGAGGAAAGGACAGAAATATGCTACTGCATATAACAGTGATCAAATCGAGCGATCTGAGGCACCATTGCTTGGTTGCAACTCAGCGTCAAAGAAACGAAAAATGAAGGATGATGTAGATATCGGTGGAAGAGATGAAGATGGCAATCTTTTGTCAAACAACCTGACAGATGATTTGATTTACTTGAAAAGAAAATCAAAGAAAAAAATAGAGGCTGAGAGGGTTAGTTCAGAAATGGATAATTCTGATTTGCGTCTTACTGATTTGGGGACAGCAGACAGAGAACTTGAAATCAAGCCACCGAAAAAGACATTCACTTTGATCACACCAACAGTCCATACTGGATTTTCATTTTCTATCGTACATCTTCTTTCAGCAGTCCGCATGGCAATGATTAGTCCACATGCAGAAGACAGTTTAGAAGTGGGGAAGCCTAGAGAAGAGCTGAACAAAGCACAGGAAGGCACTGCAAATGGTGACCTTTCTAACAGCAAGATGGATGTCAATGGTGAGTCTGCTGACCATCTGAACATGCTGTCTCTTACTGTTCAGGATATTGTTAGTCGTGTGAGATCAAATCCTGGTGATCCTTGCATTCTTGAGACACAAGAACCACTGCAGGATTTGGTCAGAGGGGTTCTGAAGATATTTTCTTCGAAAACAGCACCCTTAGGAGCAAAGGGTTGGAAGGTACTAGCTGTTTATGAAAAATCTACCAAAAGTTGGGCATGGACTGGCCCAGTTATTCATAATTCACCTGACCATGATGCCATTGAGGAAGTGACATCTCCTGAGGCTTGGGGTCTTCCTCATAAGATGCTTGTCAAGTTGGTTGATTCCTTTGCCAATTGGTTGAAATGTGGTCAGGAAACTCTTCAACAAATAGGAAGTCTTCCAGCGCCGCCTTTGGCATTGATGCAAGTCAACCTTGATGAGAAGGAAAGGTTTAGGGATCTGAGGGCTCAAAAGAGTCTTAATACCATAAGCCCTAGTTCAGAGGAAGTGAGGGCTTATTTTCGTAAGGAGGAGGTTCTCAGGTACTCCATTCCTGACAGAGCATTTTCCTATACAGCGGCTGATGGTAAAAAATCTATTGTGGCACCTTTAAAAAGAGGTGGTGGGAAGCCAACATCAAAAGCCCGAGACCATTTCATGTTGAAACGTGATCGTCCACCCCATGTTACAATTCTTTGTCTTGTAAGAGATGCAGCAGCTAGATTACCTGGAAGTATCGGCACTAGAGCAGATGTTTGTACATTAATTCGAGATTCTCAATATATTGTTGAAGATGTTTCTGATACCCAAATTAACCAAGTAGTTAGTGGAGCCTTGGATAGATTGCATTATGAACGTGATCCTTGCGTTCAATTTGATGGGGAAAGGAAACTGTGGGTTTACTTGCATAGAGAAAGAGAAGAAGAAGATTTTGAGGATGATGGGACTTCATCCACAAAGAAATGGAAGAGGCAGAAAAAGGATGCTGCAGATCAATCTGATCAAGGAACAGTAACTGTTGCTTGTCAAGGGACTGGGGAACAAAGTGGATATGATCTGTGCTCAGATCTCAATGTGGATCCACCTCCATGCACTGATGATGATAAAGGGATGGAACTTTTGTCCACTGATGCAAGGCTGAATGTAGAGGCCCATGTTGATGTCAATCGTGCTTCTGAAGAAGGCAATGTTTGCGATGGTAATTCAATGGCTTGGGAGTCCCTTGGTCTAAATCATACTCGAGAGTTATGCCAAGAAAACTCAACAAACGAAGATTTTGATGATGAATCCTTTGGTAGAGAAAGGCCTGTTGGACTATTAAGTGCAAGCTTGTTGTGAAGAATTCTACAGGTAGTTATTTACGTCATTTAGCATTATTTTGATTGTATATTCCTTTGTCTTTTGGCTACTTGTTATCTAAAATATCATAACTCCTTTGTTATGGCACATTCACCCTACTTATTTTTTTAAAGAAAAAAAAAAATAGACATTAGAGAAGTTAGCTAGGTTGGTCTTGAGAGAAGTAAAACTGCAATAGAATACGGTTCTTGGTATTTTGTTACACGGGGGTATTGAATTTTTTCCTCCAATATTCATCCATCTATTAATGCTTATGAAATTTATACCTCTTTCTGTAGGCTTTTGGTCCGTTGCCACTCAAGTTCGATCATCCTTGCTGTAGCACTGTGCTTATATATAACGCGGGCTCAGTATCTTTGTAAATTGATTTGATCGCAAAGAAATAGAATAGAAAATGTGATCTGTTGAAGATCGTAGAATTGGTTAGGATAGCTGAATGCTTTTAACGGCTTTACATCCCCATAAATAATACCTTTTGGGTTGAAATTTCTAATGATCTGAAGTTTAGCTTCTTGTTTGATGGATCAAGGAGCGCGATGTGGCGTTGTTGTATTGCATCGCAATATTCTTATTTTATCTGTAGATATGGCTCAACCAAGACATGATGTCAGTACATCCAATAAATCTGTTCACCCAAATGAACAGGACAAAATATTAATTACACTCAGATGGAAAGCACAGAAGTTATTCCTCATTGCTTGATTCATATTTTTGTGCTTGGATGATCTTGTCTTGTGTTTCACAAGTGGAATTTAACACTAGTCATTTGCAATCAGCTAATTATCTATGGTAATAGATTGTGCATTAGATCTTGCACAGATTCAACGATATGTTCGATAAAATTATTAAGGGTATGGTGGTTGCTTAAATTTAAACGGATAGTGATGAATGTACGTTCACAACGCATCCAAGGGTGACCGAAACACGCATTAATTTCTCGTTATAAAATATATTTGTGTTAAAAGTTTAATGTTTACTTATATTATAAAAGGCTTCTGATTCAGTCAATTTAAAATCGTCGACCTGAATGCTAATCTCTCAACCAAAAGTAATTCTGGTAGAATTTGGGAGATATATATATAATATGAGAAATCAAGTTATGTTTCATCCTAGTGTTTTATTTTACCTTGTCTGTGTTGGTTATGGAAAAGAAAGAGGAAGAGGAGGGAGTAATTCAAAAAGAAAAAAAAAGAGAGAGAGAAGAAGGTTGTTAGCTTAAAAGAAATAGAATGGAAACCTTTTTTCTTTATATTGTTTATTTATTATTAATAATTTTATTTATTGGAAGTATAATAAGAAAAGGATTTTCCCTGCAATCTATCGCGGTGCTGATATGAAAAATAGGACACGCTTATTGGGAAACAACCGTAACTAGTTTTAACAGCTTTTAAGGGTATTGGATGTGAAACTGGGCATAAGTATGGTAAAGTGTTCACATGTAGTGAGAAATAAGAACGATGGAGAGAAGGATGTCATCGTCTTCTATATGAAGGAAAGCTAAAGTCTTGATTAGTCAATTACAAATTAACTAGGCCTTTGGTTGCCATATATTTGAAAATAATTGACCCTAAGCAAATTTGACAAAGCCTCAAAATATAAGATTCATTGTTCTGTCTAATGTTTTTTAATTAATTTTATATTATATATATATATATATATATATATATATATATATATATATATATATATGATATAATATATTCATTTTGACATGACACTCAAATTTTCTTCAAGTTCCGCGACGTCTGTCTGTGCATGCTTCTCACACCAATTAATTTAGGTGATTACCATACATGTCAATTGTTTGAATGTTATCGAGGTTAATTTTTCTTAAAGAAATTATCGTATGAGCAGTTGTTGTCTAACATGTGTTTGATGTCAAAAAATAATTAGGAATCAGATAAACTACAAAAGCACTCTCAATGTGAGCATCACCAAATATATATTTTAATAAAGTACCTTGAGTTAAGTGTATGACTTCTAATCTCAAAACAAATATTTAGAGAATATCAAAATGCAATGCCTACTCCTACTTGGAGTAATAGGGGAAAGTTGAAAAATGATGTTTCAACTTTTCACGTTCATTTGGGTGTGTGCAGTAAGAAAAGGAAAGAGAAAAACAGAGGTACAGAGGCGTGTGCGGTCCTTTTCAACTATAGTTCTATGGAGTGTTAAAAAAGGGCTATTAGGTGTAGTGTGTTTGAACGAACTTGATAAGTTAATAAGGAAGTTTTTGTTTTCTTTTTCATCAAAAATATTTCTTAACTCAGATAGAAACTAATTTTTTCCTTGCATAAAAGATTAAATTTTACCTTTAAACAAAATATGTAGCTTCTACAAACTGGGTAGATCATGGTAACGTGGAGTTTCTTAACCTGGAACAAAGGGTATAGAGTATTCTAATCAGAAGTTGCAGCCTTTTCACAGACAGCCATTACCTGGGACCCAATTACCTGTGCAGAGCCCAACACAACCTTGTTCAGTTAGTTGTGGTTGGCCGTACACCCCCAATTATGAAGAGAATTCTTTCTCCACATGTTACCAGCCTGTACAAGTCCCGTTCCCTCCTTGCTTTAGCTTTTGTCTCTTATTCCTCTGACAAACCATTATGCAACACCCGTACCTAGGCCAACTACCAAAGCTAATTCCTTTATCTGTTTAGGCACCAACAAGATGAAATGTTCCGGTCATGCTCATCTATCTAGCTTTGGCTGATGCGTACTGTGTATTGCATGTCTCCCACTTCTAAATTATTATAAAATTCATCGCCACTTTTTTTCTTCCCCATCTTCAAGATATATTTAGACCCTTCCAGGGTATGGCAACCGTCAAAAATTAATGCAAACACCCCAAAAATCATATTACGTAGTACGTACCAATCTCAAATGACACGAATAACACAGGTTACTGTAGAAAAGGGTAACCTTTTACATATTCCGGCCTCCATAAAGATTAGCCCTTTTTTTCCTCTATTTCCAAAAAAAATAAAATAAATGAATATATAATTTTATGCAATTTATCTGAACAATGTGCTATTTACAGAATTTCGACTGTCCCTAGTTAATAGCAGTAAGAGGAACTCTGGAATCTCTCACTGATTGGGCGGCTTCATATGCCCCGATATGTTTAACATCTCCATTTGCTTGTTTTGGAGATCTTGCATCCCAGAATGACTTCAACAATTCCTCAAACGAAGGGGTTCTTAATTCTTCTATGGATGAAACGCTAGGTAAATTGAAGAGTCTCTTTCTTGGTGTCGAACAAGATGGCTCGTCGACCTGTATGTCGCCATAATTTAAACAGCAGAGAACATTAGAATCCTGTAACCAGTTAATATAGTGGAGGCTGAACGTACTATGTTTGAGCCATTAAGTCTCTTTCTTACCACGTATTCGTTGAGAAGACATTTTCCTGCATGTTCAGTTATCTCTACAATTTTGTGGTAGTGACCACCCTTCAGTTCTCTCAAATCACCACAGCATGGAATAATCATAGAGTTCAGATTCCCACAAGCTTCATGATCAAGTTGTAACGAATCTGCATGTGTTTTTAACTTGTCAGATGATATTTATGGTATTACCTACCTAGGCAACAAAGATGACGCATAGATGTAACACAAAATACTGACGATCAATGGCTAAGTTAATATCCTTATTTGCTATTCCAGCATCATCGAGTGTACTTGAAACCGCACTTGAGAACCGGGCTCGCAGTGCTTGATTAGCTTCAATTCCTCCCCTGGCCATTGTTAAATGTTAAAAAAAGGTTGACAAAATGTATTGTCTTTCTACTGTTTTGATCTTTATTGAGTGGGGAGTACAAAACCTACCTAACAATAGTATCCACAGAGGCAGCATTTCTCTTCTCCAAACTAAGCAAAGACTCTTGAGCTTTTCTCCATTGTTGTGAACCTACTTTTGCCTTGTTGAGGCTGCAGTAGTTTTCGTTCAGTACAAGAATAGCTAATAGAAGAGAATAGACTGGAGATAATAATATGCATTGTCCTGGCTCATGCATACCAGATTTGAAGAACCTCCACAAGGTCTTTCTTCCCAGATTCTACAGCAGAGGTATCCTCATGATAGTTGGATTCTGTTTTTTCCATGTGAACTCTCCATTCTGACTTGACAGAAGAACTTGAATCCTGCATGGTTAATGCTTCTTGCCGCAGTTTACTGGTTCTACAGTTTGCACTCTCTCGAAGATCATTGACTGCCATTTGAACCTGATATGATAAATATCAAAAGGAATGTTATGGTCAAGTACAAATGGACATCATTATAGGTAAACTTGCATGCTTAAAAAAGCAAAGGCTATACCAATTGTTTCTTTCTAGCATTTGAACTTGCTAGCATTTCTGCCACTTTCTCCAGTAGTTGCTTTTCTTCATAGGCAGTACACTCCTAAACCCAGCAAAATTGAGAAACATCAAAGGTTAGAAAAAAAAACTAGTGTAAATGATACCAAACAGTGATTTATGAAATTCTCAGAAAAGAATGTACTGCAATCACCTCAAACTTCTTCTCCAGTTCAAACAATTTCTGATCATTGACCAATTGTGCTTCTTCCACAATTTGGGTCAGACTAGATGCATGCCTGTCGATTGTCTCAAAAAAGTTCACTGTTATTTTAGATACTGCACGTGTAGTCTGTACTGCTCTAGCATGTGCCTGAACAAAAAATAGGAGAAATTTCAGAATCTCTGTGACAGAAGTTCAGTAAAAAAAATAAAAAATAACAGACCTCTTGTTGTTGATGAGCATAAGCTGTTAAATTGGCCTCTTGCTTGTTGAGACTACTTTGAAGATCATTTAGTAACGAATCAGCTTCTAAGGCAATTCCTTTAAAAAGCTGAACAACATAAATTAAGTTAAAAAGAGCTAGAAATCTTAATTAGAATCAACTTTAAGGGCTAATAGACCACTTACATCCTCCAAGGCAGATGAATGCTTGGCTACTTCAGATTTCAAGTCATCATAAGTTAACTGGTTATTTACTTTAAGCTCCTCAGCTAAATCATCCAGAGCTTTGATACCAGAACCATACATGTTTTTCAACTTTCCTACTCGTTCCCTAAGATCTTCAGTAGCCTTCAAAACCATACCAAAAAGAAGTTCATAAATCTGAAATCTGATGTTTAACAGATAAATACAATTGCATCCTTTATTAACTCACCTCTGCTTTCGTTGATACAAAAGACTGCATATCTTCCTCCATGTCCTTGAGTTGCTGCTCTTGATGCATTACTGAAGCCGAAACTGTCTTGTGCAAAACTTCAAGTTGTTGAGCTAACTGAGATTGGAATTTCTGGATAAGTATTCTATTTCCTTCTTCAATTTTATCCTTCCGCTCTAAGTGTAGGAAAAGGCAATTTCATCCGTGATGTTAGAACCATGTTCTTTTCCAATTTTAGAACACAACTAGAGAATCATACTTACCAATTTTGGAAAACAAGTTTGCCACATCTGAAGCAGCATTCTCAAGCTCTGCTCGTAATTCAATTGCATGCTCCACAAGTTCTTTCTCTGGAAAAGGTATGAAAAGTTGTCAAATATAAAAGATTGTAACAATATTCAACCAACCCAGTAAACGTATTTAATAGGGAAACCACAGATGGCTCAATTACTAACCAGATTTTAGGAGATTTGATATCAAAAATTCCTTTTCCTTAATTGTTGCGTTTGCTTGTTTGTGCCTCTCCTCAAGATCAAACAATAACTGCTCAGTTTCTTCTAGACTTTTCTGAAAATACAAATGTCAGATTTAAGTTTAATTCTTGAATGGATAAAAAGTCCAGATTTAAAGAATGAAGCAGTTAAACACGACCACATTTACCTCCGTTTTTTCAAGTTTATTACTTAATTCGGCAGTCAAAAGTTGCTGAGAATTATAGAGTTCTTGAAGCTCCATCAATTGCTACACAAATATGGCCAGTTCATGTTTCAATATCTAAGCAATCAATAGACTTAACATAATTAATACGGGAGTATAATTAATAACGAAATATACCTTATCCTTAGACTCTGCTTCTAGTTCCATGCGTTCTATTTTCTCAGTCATGGCCTAGAAATTGAAAATATAGTGAAAAATTAAGATTTGGAATGCTTCCAAAATTATAAATGTAATTCTAATTTATATGTAAACACATATAAGGAAACCTTCTTCTCTGCTTCTTCATGAAGGTAGCGATCACGTGGTATATAGATTCCATTCTTCTCTCTTGCTGCATACACCTCTGTTTAACGCAAATAAAAAACAACACATTTGAGCACTGAACCGTCAAATAGGGAAAGAAAGAGAAAGAAACAACAACAATCTGTTTTCTCTCACTATTCAGAGAAAAAAGAGCACAAAGAGAAACAGAAGGACCAAAACTAAATTAATATGGAACGCTCAACAACCTTGTTTTAGTCTGTCAATTTCAGAATACAAATCCTTAATCATTGCAGATTTCATCATTTTCTGATTAATCTGAAAAAAATAATCAACTTCAAACTATTAGACATGCTCTGCTGCCTGTAAAAGGAGAAAAAGGTTGATAAAAAAGAAGGAGCAACTGTAAACTTACCTCTGGTTTGTTCTTAATATTTTTGGCACGGTGTGCATAATCCAAGGTACTAAGGGTTTCTTCCAGACAGTGAATGGAAGGGGATATTGTTGCAATAATGCACGTTTTGGTTTTACCACCCAAGGAATCCCTTAACAATCTTGTTAATTTGCTATCCCTGATATAGTAAGATATGTCTTAATAAAATCAGTCTCCACATTTAAAAATAATGAAAAAAAAAATGAAAAAGTGATTTGACTAGAAAAGTTGCAGTTGCTCGTACCTATATGGAACATGACCTGAGTGCTCAACTAGAGCATTAATCACTCTACCAAGTGTAAGCAAGCTTTTATTAATCTCCCCAGCCTCCCTTGCTCTACTCTGCAAGTTGTGATTTTTTTTTTTTCAGACAAATGAACGAGGCAGAGATGATGCCAGCGGTGAAAAACACTAAATAAATATGCAAGGGCCCAAATGATAATGCAATTTCAGAAATATAGTGAAGGGATGTTAACACAAATTTTGACATTATCAATATTCTTACATCCCGCCTACAATGATTTATCTCCCATGAAGCATGCCAAACAAGGAGGTTTTCACATTTTTACAAATTTTACCATTTAAAAACACGTGCCAACTTAAATCTATCATAGATACCTCTCTTGCACCAGATCGCGAAATATTCTCAGAGCCTGCGAGGTCCACAAGATTTAGCTTCCCACATTTAATCATTTCCTCACCTTCTGGAGTGCATTCCTTAATGTGAATTGTGATAGAAAATATGGAGTGAGAACGACTGCTTTGTTTATTTAGAAGAGTCTCAGCTGTACGTCTCTTTGCAGAACCTCTTTCCAATATTTTGTAAATTTCATTGGCAGTGCAAACAATCTCTTCTTCCAAACCCCTGACAAAAACACCCCCCTTCCCATCCTCCATTAGGGCAATTGGTTTCCTAGACTTGTCATCTATAATTTTTGTGGTCTCCTCAGGGGCCAAAAGATCAGTTATTTCCTCATTGTAAAGCTCTAGAAACGTTACTTTCATGTTATACTCAGCATTCTGAGCTTCCAATATATCAAAAATCTGTTTCACAGCTCTTGGGATGACACCAGCATCACTCGGAAATTCGCCATTCTGCAGAATCAAGCAGCAAAGCAAGAAATAGATTTCAATACAAAGCAATGAGAAAATAACATAAAGAGATTATTAGGTGATATGAATTACCTTCTTTCTTGCACCGCCTTCCATTGTGTAAGTCTTCCCTGTCCCTGTCTGTCCATACGCAAAAATAGTGCAGTTATAGCCCTCAAGCACTTCATAGACTATAGGAGACACTGCCTGCTCATACAGTTCTTTCTGTTGAGAGTTAGGACCAAACACCTACGCCAATATAAACTAAAATCAGCGTAATCGCACAGCACAATCTTATCAATATCATGTTAAGATTGATAAGAGAGTAGGTACATAATTATGTCACAGTAATTAAAGAACTTCAAATTCAAAATTAATTCCTGAACGTTGTTGTCTTCTGGAAATCTGAACGCACATTTAATGTAACTCTCTCTCCTAACTCGAGACTTCGATTCCCAGACCATTCAAGTTACAGCAACACTTTCTTATCTTCAATTCGAAGAACATAATAATAACAATAACAATAAAAACAAGGAAAATGCAGAAGACCTTGTCAAACGCGAAGGTTCTATCGATCTGTTTGTTGGCGATGTTCTGAACAGCCGAAACCTCTCTTCTACCTTCGTTACACGATATCACAACCGGCGTGTGCAGCCTCATTTCATCTTCACTCAACGGCCTGCAAAAACAACACGATTATATTTTATTTCATTTTTCAGTTTCGGAGCGGTAAAACGCCAAACAAGCTCAATGACCGAGTCAGCGACGAGTTAGAGCGAGTCAAACTCACCTACACCTCACGAGGACCTGCACATTGACGCCTTTGTCCTTATCATACTTGCTGTGATTGTTGGAATTCGAATCCGCAGATCGCAGATCTCGCACCGGCTTATCGCTGGAGCGCGGCGTCTGCGACGGCGACAACGGTATCATTCCACCTCCTCCTCTTCTCTGCTGCGCCTCCATTGCGGTTCAACCTTCTAAATCGGTCGGGCGAATCGCGATCAGTGAAACGCTTCTCTCGGCGTTGTATCACTGCGTGCAAATTCTGGTGCGATCGGCTTGACGGGAGAGTGGAAGTGTGAGAGTGAGGCTGCGATGAGAATAATGAAATGCGCGGATCAAGAAGGGAGAACAATCTGGTGCGGAGTTGAAATCGGAACTCACAGTGTGCCGGCCTTCTAGTGTGTTCTGTTTCAAACGGAACTTCACGTGAGAAATCGTGGACTCAAATACTGTTCACATACACACAACAGCACACAACCAATTGCTTTAAGATATTTCTTACTATTCTTAACGCTTAATGTATTATCTAATAATATATCATAGGAGAGTATTTCTTTCGGGAGCTTAAAGGGAAAAAAAGTGGTGCAATTAGCCAAAAGTTAAAAAATAAAAAAAATAAATGGAAATTGAATTTTAAGAACGTTAAGGGGCGTTTGAAAATACGTGACGGAAATTGACCTGAAGAAGGGTGGGGATGACGGCGTCGATGTGGCACTTTTCTCGCGTCGTATCATCCGACCGTTATAAAATAGAAAAAAATATTAACATTGTCTTTTGAATTTATTTGAATTACATTATTTTCTCTCTCTCTTTCTAATTACTTCCTAAGTGCGCTTAGATTGGGTAATGGAATTGCTTATAGTGGAAGTAGGTCCCTTAATCACTGTTTTAGAAGAAGTAGGTGCTTTCTGCGCTTATTGCGTGGGTTATTATTAGTATTATGATATGATTCAAAGAATTGGATCATTCTAAAAAAAAAAGGTTTCTATCACTGATGAGGGAAAGCATGCGACATGCCTATGGACCCACTGCATAATTAGTTGCATTTTTTTTTGGCATAGAATTTGGTTTTCATATTTTTATTTTGGTTATATAAATTATAAGTATATTATTATTATTATTATTATTATTATTATTATTATTGTTATAGACTACAATAAATTTCAATTATTTAATGTAACTGATGGTTTTTTTTATGCGGGATTAAAAAACTTTCATTTGGGCTCAAAAATGTAAATTTCTTTTAAAATAGGTTAAATCATGAAGGTGAAATAAGTTTGAGATAATGAAATTGTCAGTACAATTTGATTGATATTGCGTTCTCAATTTTTTTATGTGTTTGGAAACACGAATTATATATAAATGTTGAAATGAACTAAGTATTACCTAGTATGAGTTTTTTTTTTTTTAATTGGATTTTTTATTTTATTTTTTAAAATATATTATTTATTAAATAATTATTAATTTAATAAAAACAAAAATATTTAGAAAATTATGATTATGTAATTCATTATATTTATATTAAAATATTATCTTATTTTTTAAAAATATAAATTTATTGATAATTTTCACAAATTTATGTTCTTTATTTCGATAAAAAAAATATTTTCTTTTATTTATTTTTAATGTGTAGTTGTAGATTATATATATATATATATATATATAAATAGACTAATAATTTTTATTTTGAATAGAATGAAATTAAAATTTATGTCTTATAAAAATTAAATTTAATTATATTTATTTAAATTTTTTTATTTTTTATTAAATTAATAATTCAATTAAAAATAATTATTTAATAACATATTTAAAAAAATAAAATAATCCTATTTAAAGAAAAAAAGAAGAAGAGAAACTCGTCTTACTAAACATGTTTAAAAAAAAAATCATGTTTGTCAAAATTATATTTTTAAGCATGATTTCATTCTCAAAATTATTTTAACTAACACAATTTAACGTTTGAAAAAAAAAAATTTTTGACCCCTGTGGATAATTTTTTTTTTTACGTCAGTGGTAAAAAAACCTGGTATTGTTATGTACAAGGATGAAATTTAAATCATATATAAAATAAGTAACAGTAAGAGAAACTAATTTAATAACAACAATAATAAAGTGCACCTGGTATTGTTAAAATGTTGGTGATTCTTGTCTTTGAATAGAGAACACAATGAAAACATGCAAAGTTGGTGGGTAATTGGAGTGGGAAAATGGTGGATAAAGTGAGGAAATTGAATGAAAAATGTTGAAGAAAGGGTGAGGATGAAAAGGGAGAAGGAAGTTTGGTGGGTCAGAAAAGAAAAGACAGAGTGGGGTTTAGCATTACTGATACAAGTTACCCCACTCGATAGAGTGAGGCACATGCCACTCGGTTTCCATGATTCCATCTTCCATTCCTTTTTCTTCTTTTTCGTTTCTTATGCACCTGCTAATTTTGTTGCTTCACAGCATCCTGTGACCCAATATGTTGTTAGTAAGAATTTTTGTGTGTCTACCACAGTATTTAAAATTTGGATACAACTTTAGAAAAGATTGAGTTATTCACAAAACGCGAATTGGCGTGGAGAGAAAGGAAAAGGTTTTTCGTTTCACCCATCATCTTCAGAATATGTGTCAAAATGAATCATGATGTGAAGTATTGACAAGTATGGTTTCCCTTTGATCCTACCCTTTCCCTCTTTTGGAAACGTGTAGTGCAGCCACAATTATATTAATTGTCTTGCTATATTAACATGGTGATTTAAAAATATATAGAATAATAAATATTCATTTAATATATTCATTTCACTTTATAATAAATGAATATTTAAATACGATTGGATTAAATTAATGCCAGGTGGACAATTGTCACCCTAATTGCAACCGTCTAAGTTGATATTAACATGGCCTGCATCCCACCAAAAAAAGCATGGCCTGCAACGTCGTTTAATCCAAAAACGACTCCAAACCATCATCTGACAGTAATCACAGCCTTCAACTTCAATAAATAAATTATGAAAAACAAGGAGGAGATCTTTTTCAGCTAAGGTTATGGTCGAATTTCTTAAAAATATTGTTATGTATGTTATCGATCAAGTTTTAATATATTTCTCACGTTAAAAGGATAAGAATTTTTTTATATATTAAAAAAATTAATAATTAAAGATTTATTCTATAATATGATAATATTTTAATATTATTAAAGTCAATTTTTAAATAATTTTAATTATGAATTTATTCTTCTACTAAATAATTTTTTATGTATGAAGATTTATTTTAAGAATTATTTATATATTTCTTAGTGGATTAACATCAATATATATTGTTTTGATAAATAGTCTCACGGAATTTAAGAATCAATAACAAAAATAATTAGATATATTTTCTTATCTTAATTATTGAACTTTTAAAAAAAATAAAATTACGATAACATAATTCTAAAATCAACAATATTTTAAATTAATTTTAATAATAATATTATTATAATATATATATATATATATATATATATATATATATATATATTATCTTCGTATTTAAACTTTAAGCAAAATAAAAATATATTTGTCTCTTAGAAGTAACACACATGTGAACCGGTGAAACTAGGTTATGTGAAAAAAATAAAAAATTAAATCATAAAGTTATCGCATTTGTTAACCACTAAAGTTATACAATTATCCTTAAATATATATTTACTTCGGACATACTCTATCTTTCTCCATTCACTTTTACTTTTAATTTTCTGAACATGTAGATGTCCCCTTCTCTGACATGTACACATGACGAGGTTCTCATTCTTACTTTTCCTCTCGGAAAGTTCGTAAATCAGTAACAACAACCACACTGTCCCGTAATTTCCTTCAAAAGACGCAAGCTAGGTTATTAAATAAATTTTACAAAATACCCTACCCTAATACAAATGTTTAGAATTTTAAACAATGCACATAAATAAATCAATATTTTTCATTGGTACATTCAGAAGTTACTGTATAGTTTACATTTGTAATAAAAGAGAACATTAAAACTTTGATTTTTCTTATTTACAATACTGTCACGAATACTGCTTTTATATAATATAGTTTATTTAAATTATTTTTATATATAGATTTGTGTAAATTTAAATAATACTTGCATTATTATGTCCGGAAATGATATTAATAACAAAAAATAATGTCAAAATTTAATATCGTGAATAGTGTTTACAATTGAAGGAGCATGTGAATATCGAACACGTAATTGCAAACGAAGAAGACACTACAACAATAAAGTTTGAAAAAGAAAGAAAAGATATTTTGCTTTTGAAGAAGTTGATGAAGGTGGAAGCATTGTTTCCATGGGACTAATATATATATATATATATATATATATATATATATATTGAATAATGGTCCCAATGTATGTCATGACTCTTACATTGTTTGTGGGATCATATATGCATTTTTTTTTTATTCTTTGAGACTAGTGTTCTTTCTTTTATATGGAACCTTTTCATGGATTTGGATGGACATTGGTAATTAAAAAACTCATTTTTTTAGGTGAATTAACATTAATCTTTCAAAAATTAGGAATCGTTAGTTGGATTCTTTATTTCCCTTCAAGTTTATCACACAGAAATCTCACACGGTCGGGCTTTGGGCTGAAATCCCAAAGCCCGTGTATTTTCTAGGCCTTTAAAGCTTTGGGCCCTAAAGTGTCATATAATAAGGATTTTACATCCGTTTTTTGAATTGTTTTTAATGCTCCAAAGCCCATCTTTCTATATGTAATGCTTTATTGTAACAACATTATATATGGAACAAATAGAGAAACAACACAAAATACTAAGCGAAAAAAATGTCTTCCACAAAAATGGTTATGCCTTGTAGAATTTCAATAACAATATTCACTCACAAGTGACTTTCTCTCCTAGAAAAAGCTTTGTTATTGTTCTTGAAAATTAAAAGGACCAAGATGAAGTAAATTAAGATTGGGATGATGTTTTGCCTTCCAAGACAAAATTAGTTGCTACAAACAAAAATCAAAGATTGCTTTCACTCCCTCCCAATCGTCTCTTACGAACTAAAATTAAAAAACAAGTTGAACAAATAATAAATATAACTAAATCTTTTTTACAAACATAGTTTTTATTTTCTTATACATATCCTTTTTCAAAAGTTTTTTTCAAAAAAATAAAATAAAATTATAAGAACTCAACCAGAAAAACAATTATTTTAATCTTTAACTCTGTCTTATTTGTTGGATATTACACAAACTGTGTTATGGTTTATAAATATATATTCAAACACTTGCATGACAGAAATATTAAAGCATATAACATTAAATAATACTTTTTTTAATTAGCAATAAACATTTTTTACATCAAGAAGCACATAATACAAAATATGTGAAGGGAAAAAATAATCAGAAAACAATGCAGGGGTAATAGTAGTGTTTCTAATGGACAACATTGGCAATGTCTATTGTCTTCAGATTTTGCCACCTCTGGTAATTGCTTCAGAAACACTTTCTTTCTATATTTGAATTCTTTATCCTATAATCTCCATATATTCCTCGTGATATATGGTTTATTTAGTACGTTTTTTATTTGGGCTCTATGACCCATTTCCTCACCTGTCATTGATTGATGGATTTGGGCCACAAATTCAACATCTTCTGGTCATTTTAGTTTAAAAAAACTTAAATTTATTATTTAATTATTTACCGCATAGCAATTATTTATACCTTTTTAAATATTTTTCATTTTATTTTAAATAACTGTATCTGATATATTATTTTAGTTATTTTTAATGATCAAAATATAGCATCAGTGTTTCCTTGATGGAGATGCTATTATTATAGTGATTATGCTAGCATTAATGTTCCTCTTTAAATCAATTATTCCCCGTTTGGTCGAAATTAATTTCTACTAAAATTATTTTATTTGATAAAGAAGGACCCAGAATAAGTCATCAGCATTTTACAAGAAGAAAATGAAAAAAAAAACAAAATTAATTTGATGAAAAAAAAAGTAAAGACAAAATTGAATTTACATTTGAAAATTAACCCTTTTATTGTTTAATTTAATAAAATATTCGTTATATATATATATATATATATATATATATATATATATATATAGTATTTTCTCAAAATCAAACCCTTAATTAATTCGTGTTAACTATCATCATATCTATCTTTATACTCTCCTCTCTTCATCTTAGAAAAGATAGTTCATGTAAACGTGCACCTTTTCGTAGGTGAACCAGATCAACTCATCAACCAACATATATTTTTTATACTATCTCTAAGTATATAAATTTAAGAATTCACATAAAATCACTTTAGCAAAGTTATTAAAGTGAATATTTAACTGAATTTCATAATATTCAAAACATTTTAAATTAAATTGTCTTATTCATTTTTTTTTCAAGCAACGATGTTTGTATAAATAATGTTAAGTCATTATGCAAGTGATACTATTAAAAAACGTTAGTTAACTTTAAAAACGTAGTTTCACGAGAGATAACCCAATTACAGTTATCTCGAGAAATATCTGATTTTATATATATATATATATATATATATATATATATATATATATATATATATATATATATATATATATATATATATATATATATAAAGTATCATTCACCATAAATTTGAAGATATGAGAATTTTAGAAGTGAGATAAAAGAGAGAGAAATAAAAGAAATGATAAAATAAGAATATAATAATATGATATATGATGTAGTTTTTTTATATATATAGGGAACAATTGGATTACAGAGGAGGAGTCTTACATGAGTGAGGTAAGATGAGAGGAAATAGTAAATAAAGAGGATTATAAATGAATAAGATAAGATGATAATGGTTCGTTAGGGTTCATATAGCATATAGCATTAGGTTCATTGTTGAGCATAGAAATTATGGTAATGAATGGAGATTCCAGGAGCCCTTCTCTTCTTGAGAATGTCCATGCCACCGAGGAAGAAGACGATCGGTGACAGGGTGGCCCAGTCCTCGTTCTCAGCGCTGTACCCAGCCAAGAGTTTCCTTCTCGGATAAACCTTCGTTAGAACGCTGTACTTCTCAAACAACTCACTGGGGTTCGCCACAAAATCAACTTCCTTCTGGAACTGGTAATCCACAAAATCAATGAAGAAGGAGACAGCACTGTACAAGCGAGAGTAAAAGTCCCTGTTCAGTGGAAACGTGGGGGAAATGGAAGCTTCGGTGACCACCCCATTCTGCTTGAGGTTCCTTATGAGCTGTCCCACGCACTCGATAAAGTCACCGGGGGAGGCGTCGATGTGCTCGTACAGCACGTCAATGCCGTCCACGTGGAGGCCGAGCTCGTCGCCATGGACGAGGCTCGTGAGGGACTCGGTGGCGTTGGCGATCCACGTTTTGTTGTCGAGGGGTTTGAAGGGCTGGTGGGTGCCGCGGTTGCCGATGGAGATGAAGACTTTGACGTCGACGTCGCTGTTCTTCTCCTTGAATTTCGCGATGGCTTCGGGGGTGACCTTGCTTAGGTCCCAGGTCGGGCGGAAGAGGCCGTTGGTGGGGTGATCCTCGTCGTCGTAGTCGGTGGCGAAGGTGAGGGCGATTTGGTACTCCTTCAGGAACTTGCTGGAGACGAAGACTTGCTCGAACGAGTCGTCGAAGGTGTATTGACGGAAAATGGACAACATCGTGGGAATGAAAGAGAGTTTAAGGTTGGAATTTGAATTTGGTTTGTTTGTTGTGTGTGGGAAATTATGTACCCCAACATGTTCCTTATATACTGGTGTTGTGTGGCCTGTGTATTCCTTCTTTTTCATGTAATATATGTAATAAAATGTTTATTAATTTTTCCCGAGTCTTTTTCTTCTTAAACAATCTAATTCAAAATATAGGTAGATACTAAATGTAAACATTTTTCTTTTATGAAAATTCAAATCTCACTTTCCATATTAGAAATTCATTTTTTATAGATTTTTAAAGAAGATTTAAATGGAAAAATTTATTCAGATTATATCTTGGGTTGCACATAACTTTGTAAATTTAGTCATTTATTTAAACCATCATATTGGTTTGTATATATATATATATATATATATATATATATATATATATATATATATATATATATATATATATATATCGATTGATAAAAAACTTGAATTGATAGTGTAATTTTTTAATTTATTTGAAGTTGATTTAAAAAGTGTTATAGTTATAAAATTGTCTAAAACAACTCTTTATTCAATTATTTGTGATCTAACTTTTTGTAATAAATTTTAGCAATGTGTATTGAAAGAAATGTGTGGATGAAATATGCACAATTATTTTGACAATCGAAACCATGCAACTCTTTAAACAACTCACTTTTATTAATATAATAATCTATCGAATGATTTAATAAAAATAAATTAAAACTATTATTATAATATTAAAATAGAGTTGTTTATAGGAGTTCTACGAATTTGGATTGTCAAACTATCATTTTCCAATTATAAGAGTCAAATTACTATTATAATTGTAGAATTAAAATAGCATACAATAAGGAATTATATGAAGAGTGAGGAATATTTGAATTAAGGTGAGAGAAACGGAAGAAGTTAAAGGCAAGGTTTAGGGTTAGTGTGAAATGATATTCAATAATGGTGGGCAAGGGAACTTGATGAAACAGCAATGTGAATGTGATGCTACGATTTCACCAACTCATACCCTACTCTGGCTAAGTTAAACAAAATTAGTTTCTCTTCATTGGCTACTTTTGGATATGAAATCCTGGATTTCCGAAACCTAGTTTCACTTGCTCTAATGCCTATTTCAAAATTAAATACTTGGTAAAAATATCTGCCAAAATATTTTCTACGTTTCTAACGAAATTTTTATTTTACATTTTGAATTTCTTGCCTAATTTTCAGTTCAGGAGTTTAGTTTAAATATTTTGTTTCAAGATTCAATTTGAGAGGGAGAAAAAAAGTTCACCTAATGGGAAATAGAAAAAATAAACTTACGATAAATACACTAATGGGAAATAGAAAAATTAAACTTACAATAAATAAAATGAAAATCATGTGCCAAAAAATGTAAATTTTAAAAACTAATTTTTGTAGTGTTAAAGTTTTAACTTGGATGAGAAGAACACATCAGACTTTTTGTTAATTTTGTTGAAAAATTATATAAATAAACAGATATGAAATAAGTTTGTGGGTATGGCAAAGTTGTGTTTTAAAACAACACAAATTTTAATAAAGAATTTATATTTCAAAACATAACATTTTTAATTTTTTTTAAATTATAGATTCGTATTTAATAACCTTTTTTTTTTTTGGAAAATGTTTAAATTATGTTAGGGGATGATTTCAATATTTTAAAAAATAAAATTATAAATGACAATCTTAAATAAAACATTTAATATTAAAAAAATTAAACATTAAAAAAATACACCAAAAAATGTAGGAAGAGCGAAACAAATACATTTCTTCAAATTGGTCACATAAGGTATACATTTCTTCAAATTCATAATAAATGAGATTTTAGGAATATAAAAAATACATTTTGAAATAACCCTCAGATACTACTATAATGATTCAAATAAAATGAGCCAATCCTACGAAAAATTAATTTGTCCATGCCTATAAATATCGATTGCTATAATAATTACAAGTAGAAAGAAAGATAAGGTGTTAAAAACCAGAACAAGCTACTGATAACGTGTTGGAAAAAGTTTAATCCGGAACAAGCTACTCATAATAATGTGTTGGAGAAAGCTTGCACGTGATCAACTTTTCTCCTTTCTATAAATAATTTTTCATTTTTAACTTGTTAGAAACAAAGTTTTTTAATTTGATAAACTTTTAACTGTTTCTTAATTTTATTTTCCACAATAAACTACATTCTTGAAAATTAAATTTCAGATAAATATTCTCATATCCATTATAATAATATTATTAAATAATAATATCGTTAATATTAATTTTTATATTTAAATTATTATTTTTTTGTTTATTATATGAAAAAAAAATATAAATTATCATTCTACTTTAACAATCAACAATTTAATTAATTATATAAATGTACATTTCAAATATTAATTTTGTGAAATAGTATTCTTCAGGAACACAAAACGCAAAGAGAAGGCCCATGGGTTATCCTTTCAGACACACCCATTGGGCTATTTGATGAGCCCAAATCATGGACAACTTGTATAGCCTGGATAAATATTTGCAAAATTAGTTCGATAAAGTATATTTTTGTAATATATTTTTATTCTAAAGTAAGATACAATTATTTTTAATTATTTAAAAATTACTTCAGCTCGAAATTCATTTTACACTTACCATTAACCTGCAAAAATTCATCACTCCTCAAGTGAATTATATAAAAAAATATAAGCATTATTTTTAATACTAAGCTCGAAGGTATTATAGATTACGAGATTTTTTATTTAAAATTTATTTAAAATTTTTAATTTAATATTAGATTTTAATTTGGGTTCGTTATATTTTATAATATTGGGAAAATTGTAATCCTTATTATTTATTAAGAAATATAATTGTGAGAATTTAAGAATGAAAAAATTGAGTAAGATATATTAAATAAGAATCAGAAATTTAAATAATATTAAAAAAAAAATGACCATGTAAAAAAGTTGTTGAATTGGGAATGTTGGATTGATGTTTTATTTCTCCCTGTTAATTTTTCTTCTATAGACCCAGCAATTTGTTTTTGTTTTAAAGAACTTTTCAAAAAATTATGGTAAAACACAGTACTTTTATTTTCTTGTCCCACTTATGAAAAGGTTGATCATTAATGTAGACACGTGTACCTTGAGAAGAAATTTTGTTAAGGTTTTGAAGTTTTGTTACTGTATTTTGAATGATTGAAAGTTGGAAATTATTACCGCTGGATAAATTTTGAATCCTACAAATGGTTTGTTGAAATTAAGATGGATGAATGATTATTAAATGGGTGGACATAGTATAAGGCCTGCATGCTGCAAAATGTGTTTGTGTTTGTCACTGTGAACTACCATCCAAACATATCAAGGTTCTTTTGACTCGACATTACACAATGCTGTCTTGTTATTCACCGGTTCAGGTCTAACTATCTTCCATAGAACCAAGATTTGAGTTGACCTCTACACATTCCCAATATATAATCTGCTTTTTATCACAAACAGCCTATTTAGTGGAGAGTTTTTTTTCTTGGAAAAAAATTAATATAACTACTTTTTTATCCTATAACTAATTTTAAATTATTTTTTTTAATAAAATCTTATTATATTAATATATAATATTAATAAACACAGAGTAAATAATATTTTAAATAGAATGATTATAACTAATTGAATATTGAACAGACTTATTAAAAGACGAAATAATAACTAATACGACAGTTATATCACTTAAACTCTTACCATTATTCATTGTAATCCAGAACAGTTAACCTTCCACCAAATTGTGATGTTATTAGGGATATAGCGACCTAACCCTAATTAATGGTCCAACCGAAAATCACCATCAACATGGAGCTTGCAGCAGCTGAAAGGAGCCAAAAACTGAAGCTCTAGTGAGTTCCAACTTGAAATGACATGAGAATGAGCATTGGCAAATTGAACATTCGAAACCCAATGAAATGCTTTCAAATAGAAATCATGTTGAAAAAGAAAATGTGAGGCATTAAAGTTAACCAATGTGACAACTAAGAAAGTGATAGGTAGGAGATGACTGGTTAAACTTAAATGTAATGATCTGATTTCTATCAATTTCCCATTTTCTTCCATCCATTGCATTCTATCCTTGTTAGCTCCCTTTCAAAACTCTTTATGCCTATTGGTTAGTGAAAAATGCACCCATATGTTTTACATGGACATTGAAAACAAAAGTTTCAATCTTTTTTTTGCATTGACATTATTCATTAAGAATTGGTGTCTGAATAAATGATTAGGGAATGGGTGTTATTCTCCCTGTCTTTCTCTATAGGAAGAAAGTACTGTTCCCATCCCACTATAACACCCATTAATTATTCTTTTTCTTCTCTCTTTTCATTTCTACGCATTTACCACTCTTTATGTTTTAAATTCCTAATCATATTTGTAAAGACTATTAGTAAAAAATGAGAATGATGATTTTCTAGAACATTCCAATTTATATTTCTTACAAAACTATTTTTAAAATATTTTAAGTGAAAGTAGTGATATGTATACGAGAATGTATAAATGTATTCTCTATTTTTAAATATCTGAATTTTTATTTTATTTTATTCTCTTAATATTATATATTTGAACTCATTCACCGTTACTCTATCAAAGATATACCACCCATTGAAAAACTGAGTAACGATGTAAATGAAAGAAATATTGTTAACGAGAGTATGAAATAAAAAGTGATGTGGAAGAGAATGGCAAGAAAGTCAAAATGAATGAGTGAAGTAAGTGGGGGAGACTGTTAATGGCGTTGAAAAGAGCCCACAAAGGTCTAGAAAAGGGCCTTATTGGGCCATACCTAGTTTGGGTGTCCACTATTCATTGGGGAGGTTCACCTTTCCATCTAAGCATACGCCCCACATCGTTAGATAGGCCGGTGCATCAAGATTCTTTTCTTTTCTCCTCTTCTTCAACGCCTTCTCATTTCAAACAAACCCTAACTCTTTATCAAGTCTTTGATTCGCATATTCAATCATGCTTCATACCATAGCT